TTCTTAATATTGCTCCCTCCCCCTATTTTCCCCATAACAACCACTCTGTGGGATGGGGTGGGCTCAAATAGAGTGACCAGCCTGATGTCACCCAGTTGGCTTTAATGCCCAAGGCCAGTAATTTAAACACTTATATCAAACTGTCTCTCTTCAGTGTGAGAAGATTGCTCTGCTTGTTTCAGCTCTTTATCCTGAACACTTCTCAAATTAGATTTGGGATGATCCAACCTTGAACATAAGATATATCTTAAGAACAGGGTTCATTTTCTCTAGTGGTGATGATGTCACTTAAAAAGTCTCAACAGCCTAGTAGCATTTAATCTATGGCTCTCTGCCAAAGAATTGGTGTTGATGCTACTTCAAAACCAAGTCTGCTATAATGATATAATTCTTTATGTGTATTTATGGCTCATATTAGAAGCGAATGGCAAAAACATTCAATGACAATAGAACTTTATCAGTTCTGTCACAACATAAATTGGAGAAGCATTTTGCAGATCCTAAACTAAAGCCAGAGATATAGTTTAATTTTTACACTGGAAACATATAATTCCCTTTTGAGGGATACCTGCCAACACCTGCTCTCTGTGCTTCCTAACATGGAGACCACTAAAAGTAAGCTGAAAATGATACTGAGCAGTGCTGGTGTTGTCAAAGGATAGCACTACATACTCAAACACATAAGGAAAAGGTGGAAGAGTTAGGATCAGAAAAAGGAAAGGAGGCTAGGTTGTCATGCAGGAATACAAGCTAATTTGAGGGCTAATCCACATGGAGCTCCGTTTCCATCTGTTTGCCATCATTTGTTCCCTAGAAACTAAAATGGACGATCTGAAACTTGAGCTGGCCACGAACAAGGAGTGTATATTGGAGGTGGTGGCCCTTTGAGAGCTGTATGCAACGAAATTTCATTTTGATGTATGCCGATTGGTATACATTCAAACTGACAATAAATTTATTATTATATTATATTGTAATATTAAAATACTGTTATGAAAAATACCATAAGCATATCCAATCCCATAAGCCATCACAAAAAAGTGAAAGTGACATAGATCAGAGGAAAAACTGATCAGAGTTCTTGATCCCACAACTAAAAAGAATACTCTAGAACTGTCAGGTGAAATAGTTACCCTGCTCCACTAGAGGTGGTTCTTAAGACCATAATTGGGACAATTTCCAATGCTAAGCAAGGTGATGGTGGACTGGGTTGCACCTGAATTTATGAGCTTTTTTGCCCAGGTTATTAAGTAAATCACTACTGTTGTTAAGTGAATCACATGTTCATTAAGCAAATTCAGCTCCTCCTATTGACTTTGCTTGTCAGAAGCTGATTGGAAGGTCAAAAGGGGTGATCACATGACTCAGGATGCTGCAATTGTCATAATATATGCCAGTTGCCAATGGCTCAAATTTTGATCCCATGACCATGGGAATGCTGTGACTCTCAAGTTTATTTCAGTGCCATTGTAACTTCAAATGGTCTCTAAACAAATGGTTGTAAATAGAAGGCTACCCATATTACAGTTTGAACAACAATAGCTATTAGTTAGAATTGAGGATTGTTGTATTAATCTTGGAGCACAGGATGGGTGAGGAGAAACATTTCAAGGAAACAGACCTAGCAGAAGCTGAGGTATTTATGATCGATTCTGGGTGTTCCTCATCATAAACTTGCATAAATAGTTGTATAATTATAATAGAATCGGTTCTGAATAGCATCTGCATCAATGTTTTGGCAGAAAGTTGTGAGCCAAGTGCTACAAGCCAGTCCAGGTACTCTGTGCTGTGTAGATAATATCATTGTCATTAGAGCAAAGGATGAAGTATATCTATAAAATCTCAAGCACTGTGCCAGAGATTGGTGGCTTATAGTTTTTGAGCACAATGCAACAAACCTTTATACCAAATATTACATACTGCAGTCCAGCTGCTGACACATAAAGCGCATGCAAGTGTATGGAGAATTATTGAAGCAGCCGAGAATACCCGGAGGCTACAATCAGCTATAACTCTTTCCTAGGATTCTTCAGTTATTACAACAGATTCCTGCCAAATTTAGCCACTACGTTATAGTGGCTTGAACATTTTTACAGTATTTTAAATGGGGAAGGCGTGGGCCTGGCCAAAAAAGGGCACGCAATCTCTTGCAGGAGCAAATCAATATCATCATATTATACACAATGCTCACGTGTCATATTTTGCGTTTACCGGTGAAATTGGTCTGGGATACCTCAAAATATGGCTTCAATGTAATTAGAGTTGTGGTGGCACAGTGGTTAGAATGCAGCACTGCAAGCTAATTCTGCTTACTCTTACAGGCAATCTCACACGCTCAAGGTTGACCGAGCTTTCCATCCTTCCGAGGTTGATAAAATGAGGACCCAGGTTGTTGGGGGCAATAGGCTGACTCTGTAAACTGCTTAAAGCACTGTGAAGTGGTATATAAGTCTAAGAGCTCTTGCTATAGATCTCAGACTATCTGGCAGTTGAATAACATAGGCTATTCTCAACTTACAACTATTTGTTTATTAACCGTTCGAACTTACAACAGCACTGAAAAAGTGATCTACGACTGTTTTTTACACTTACAATGATTGCAGTATCTCCATTGTCATGTGATCAAAATTTGGATGCTTGGCCATTGGCATATATTTATGACAGTTGCCATGTCCCAGGAACAAATGATCAGTTTTTGCAATCTTTTGACAATAGGGTCACGTAATCCCCTTTGGTGACCTTCTAACAAGCAAAGTCAATGGGGAAGCAGATTCCTTTAACTACAGTTATTAACAACTGGAGTGATTCACTTAACATATGTGGCAAGAAAGGTGGGGTAGAAATGGGGCAAAATTCATTAACAATTGTCTTGCTTAGCAACAGAAATTTTGGGTTCCATTGTGACTATAAATCAAGGACTACCTGTAGTAACTCTTCCATTATGGTCACTCACATCTGCAGACCAAAATTAGGCATAAACAGGCAGAGAAATACTGGTTTGGACAGTGCAAAAAAGTTTGGCTTTGTTCTTTGAAAGGCTCAAATACCGAACAGAGCTAAAAGGGATACCTGAGAAAGCAGATGTTGAATTCTGGGAGTTAGTCTACACAGCTTAAAATTCCAAGATTGACAGACACTGGTCTACAGAGCTATCAGGAGAAATGTAGAGGGTGAAACTTCCACCTCAAGAATATTCACATAGCAGTGGGAACATTGTAAAAGCTTTAAGCCCCAATGTGTGCAATTGGTAGACTCTAACAAAAATAACTTTTTCCTTTTCTCCTCAAAACTAATAGGAGTTACAGCTTTGTGAACATGAGTTGAGATTATCTTATTTTGTTCTAGGAATATGCAATCTATAAAAACTACAGGTGGGCGTCGACTTAGGACCAGTCATTGTGCGATTGTTTAAAGTTGCGACTTACCTGCAAAAAGGGAATAACAACCTGGCATTTGCCCCGCCAATCATGTGATCACACTACAGATGCTCAGCAACACCGCCACATTTGTCACTATTTGCAGCATCTCAAGGTCATGTGATCACATTTTACTATTGTTTTGCCCACAAGGTAAAGAAATCATATGCCAGTGATATTAATGCCTGATTCCAGGAGTAACAAAACCCCTGTACATTAGAATCATGACAGTCTCACTACAGATAAAAATTATAATGCTATTATTCAATATTATTAATTTATATAGCAGTTTAGAGTTGCTTCAGTAGTAAAATGGTGACATATAAATTTAATAAAATAAATTTTTATGCTACCATACATTCTGGCCGAGGGCTCTCAAACTGCTATATATAAGAAAGTTAAAATACAGATATACAGATAGTCCTTGACTTACAGTCACAATTGAGCCCAAAATTTTTGTTGCCAAGTGAAACATTGGTTAACTGATTTTTGCCCTATTTTACAACCTTTCTTGCCACAGTTGTTAAGAGAATAACTCAGTTGTTAAGTTAATAATACGGTTGTTAAGTGAATCTGGTTTCCCCATTGACTTTGCTTGTCAGAAAGTCGGAAAGGGGGATCACATGACCCCAGGACACTGCAACCTTATACTAAGCGTCTGAATTTTGATCACGTGACCATGGGGCTGCTGCTACTGTCATGTGAAAAATGGTCATATCAACTTTTTTCAGTGCCTCTGTAACTTTGAACAGTCACTAAATGGACTGTTGTAAGCCGAGGAATAGAATAGAATCTGGAAGGGATCTTGGAGGTCTTCTAGTCCAGCCCCCTGCTCAAGCAGAACCTGTACCTGTATTACCTGTAAGCCATTGGGATAGAAAGGGACATAAAACAGTATCTCATAGATTTGTGTTTAAGGTGTGTGTACGTCCCAAATTAGTGTCACGTGGTATGCTCAATCCGTTTCCTGGTCGTGTGTTTGTGTGTCCCAATTTATGCCACATAGTATGCTCACTCCCTTTCCTGGTGTACTGCAAACGTGGCCCCAGCTGAGCGGAACGGTTTGTGGGGAGGCGCCCCTGGGGGGGGGGGCAAGTCTCCGGGCAAACCCCCGGGCACCCTCCCCGAAAAGCAGAGCCGTTCCTCTTTCTTGCTTCGGGCAAGATGCCCGCCAAATCAGACCCGAGCTCGGGTCTTTAAAAATTCTTGGTCGTGTTTTAATTGCTACAACACAATGCAGCCCGCCCAGCCCTGAGCGAGCAAAGGCTCTCCCACCCTTTGCTTCCCCTCATTAGCGTCTTTTCTGGTGGGTGTGAAGGAATCGGGCCACGCGGGTCACCCCGGCCGTTTTCCCACAGCCAGACGGAAGGCTGTTCCACAGAAATATGAATTGCTCTTTTTTAAAAAAGATTCCTTGCAAAACGGTCTCCCCAGGAAGACACCCCGCCCCCTTTCGGCCTCCCACACGGAGGGTCTCCGCCGGCGAACTACAGCAAGCCTCCTTCTTCTATCCCACTGCCCCGCCCACCCGCTGGATTAACCCAGCCCACCTGTGGGTGTGGCCAGACTTTTTCCCCTCCCCTTTTGTGGCCTTCGTTCCCAGCCATCCTTATGCCCCCCCTCGGATAATACGGCCAGTCGCCTTAGAGCCAAAGGTGGGCGACAATAAAGCCATTTCTCCTTCATCGCCCCCTCGGATTTTTTTGAGGATCTCCTCTTCCCCACCCCACCCCCAACGCGCTCCTCTTTCGGCAGATTTCCCACTGAGAAAGTAAGCGAAGCTTTCTCCGGCAGCCCATCCGGAACGCCATGAATCTGTTCCGCTTCCTGGGAGACATCTCGCATCTGTTGGCTATAATCATCTTGCTGTTGAAGATCTGGAAGACCAGATCCTGTGCTGGTAAGGGAAACGGGGGAGGGGGAGGAAAGGGGAGATCAACTGATCCCTTCTCTATGTCTCTAGGTGACTTTATTTCTGGCCTGAAAGTGATTGTATGGAACTATCGGTAGTGCATGTATGGATCTGAGGCTCAATCAACTTGGGAGCTGATACACACGTGCAATTTACCAAATTGCTCTATCCTCTCTTCTTTAAATCCTTCCTCTCTATGTATACTATGAGAGTTAACTTCCATGCTATAGGACAGGTTACTTCAGAGTAAACCTTCCAAAGTGACACAAGTTGCATTCTGTCTCTTTGTCTGTCTGTCTATCCTTTTTTTTAAAAAAAAAAACTTTTATTTCTATAGATTTATATTTCTGGAATTCAACTGGGTTGTTGTGACCCTTAATATATATGTATCTGGTATGACATGTTTTTTAGAAAGACCCAGTATTTGTGGGTTAATATTTGAAACCCGTGTTCTATATTTAAAGTCCCTTATTTATTGCTTTTAGAGAAAGAATTGCTTTGAAAAAGTGAATGACGATCTGGAGGGCAGGGAGAAAGGAAGCATTAATACAGAAAAGTTAATGTTGTTCTTGTTTTTTTAAAAAACTAATTTGTTGAAAGCAATGAATAACGAAATGGAAACTACTTGAGCTGGGATTGGATAAAACTGGATGATCTCTTCCTTCTGACAATCCCCTTTGGCCCTATTGCAGTGGTGGCGAACCTATGGCATGTGTGCCAGAGGCGGCACTCAGAGGCCTCTCTGTGGGCATGTGTGCCATGCCCCGAAGATGGTGAGGGACTGGCCCCTGCCACCCTCGCCCCACCCATCTAGTCTGCCATGACCATCGCAGCCATGTCCACCTGGCACCCTGTGATAAATAAGTGGGTTTTGGGTTGCAGTTTGGGCACTGGGTTTCTAAAAGGTTCACCATCTCTGCCCTATAGAAAAAGAGGAAAACCAGATTGTGGGTGTAAATTTTTTTAGACTTGGAAGAAAAAGCATGAGTAGATCTTGGAAAGACCACTGCCCTTGCTAATGATGCCTTCTCATTGTGGACTACCTCTTATTGTGCCAGCTCCAGGCCTCTTCTGAGTCTTCTTAATGTTTGAATGCTATGAACTTTCTTTGTGTTAAGGAGTTATGACATTGGATGATGAATCCTGAAGAGTTTTAAAGCATCTTCTCTGTTTTTCCTAAGGATCAAGATCAGGGTTTTCAAAATTATAGTGTATACGCATAATTCATTGCCGTTATTTCGACCTTTTGTAAGGGGTGCGAGACTATATCAGAAGCGTTCTAGGGATGCGGGGTATAGAAAAGGTTTGGAGCCACTGATCAAGATAATGACTTTCTGCTCTTTTTTTTTAATGTCAAAAATGATTATTTTCTTATCTGATCATGAGTTATGGTGCCTTGTGCTTTTCTTGCAGGGATCTCTGGGAAGAGCCAAGCTCTCTTTGCCATTGTCTTCACTACTCGGTACCTAGATCTATTTACGAACTACATCTCGTTGTATAACACCTCCATGAAGGTACAGGAGTGATGTTGGACTATATAGTGTGTTATTGTGACTAGTTAGAAGGTTAACAGGCTCAGTGCCACAGAAAATAAAATAGTTACAAGTTTCTGTTGTCTTGTACTTCTTTCTGTATGCACATTTTGCTTCAATAATGTGGCACCACTATCAGCTATAAAAGAGGATGAGATAAGGCAAATAGTCTTTTATAATGGTGGTTTATGCAAAAGAATCCAAAAGTATATCCTCCTAATTTAGTGAAACGTCCTGCTTGGTAAGTAGGAAGTCTTCATTTATTTGTAACAGAACTTGTCATGTTAGCAGCATTTGTACAGTACAAAGAATTAAGTTGATGAAGAAGATTTTGACGTGGATATCAGGTGCTGCTTTGGCAGAGAATAAGTATTAGACAATTGTTAGCAATGTTAGTTTTTAGTCTTAAAGAAATTATTTGCCCTGTGAGTAATCCTGGATAAGCTAAATGTAAGCAGATAGTATATTATTATATCAGTTAAAGGATAAAATCAGTATGTTGGTTAATACCTCTGGCCTTGAAAAACAGTGGCAGAATATGTTGATTCCTGAGATCGGTGTCCCAATTCTCAGTGTACTTCAATTAGAGATAGAAACAGCTTAATGATTGGTTAAAGTTGTCATTAGAACAGTTGTGGGAACTGGTGACCGTCCAGATAATGCTGAACTTGAAAATTTGGGCACCTATCATTGGCAAGTTGCTTGGGAACAGTAGTTCAGCAATATCTGGAAGGTTTCAAGTTCCTCATACTTCATATAAATGAGGGAATGTAAAGAAGGGATCTAGTTTATAAGAAGTTTATAATATTTCATCTCAATGACAGTTCTTGACCAATGTTATCTCCTGCAGGTGGTGTATGTTGCCTGTTCTTATGCTACGGTATGGATGATCTATAACAAATTCAAAGCCACCTATGATGGCAACCATGATACCTTCAGAGTGGAATTCCTGGTTATTCCGACAGCAGTGTTAGCGTTCCTAGTAAATCATGATTTCACACCCCTAGAGGTAATGAAATGTGTGCTAGTGTAAACAAGCCTAAGACCCAGATACCTAACTTGCAAGCTATATGATGTGTTCGAGTCGTGTTGTTAAAGTTACTCATTTAATTGGCAAATGGCCATTCTTAATATTCTAATCCCTGCTTGTTCTGCTACTTTATAGCTAGTTCCTTTTATGATTACAAGCTTGAATTAATTTTGCTTTTCAAAGCAGTGCCATATGTATTCAGCTATTCCTATCTGCTTATGTGTTGACTAAATGGTACTGAAATAGAATTGTGATATACCTGTAGTTGTTTAAACCAGAAGCTGTTCTTTCCAGAAGAAACAACAAATCAGCAGAACAACAAACCAACAAACTTCTGTTGCAGCAACAGAAGTGTCAAGAGAGTACTTGAATCCAGACATAATTTAGCTGTAACTTGCCAAATCTTGACCATCTTGATTCACTGAATTCAGTGCAGTTCAAGCATGACTGATTCAGCCTGGATTCACCCTTAGGCAGAAAAGTTCAGACTTCAAGACAAGGTTGATTTCTGGCAATCTTATTCATGTAGTTTTCTGGGCAAGAATGCAGAAGTGTGATGCACTCACTGCCTTAGTCGAGGGTGATAGTGATAATGTTGATTTTAACTTTTTGATCTGGCCTGTAGCCATTTCCAAGAGTTTCTCCTCTAAGATGGTGATGATGATGATTAGACATTAGGTAATATTTGACTCAGTGCTGCCATCCATATAGACTGTTCTCTCAAGTCAATTAGAATAGAATAGAGCTGGAAGGGGCCTTGTAGGTCTTCTAGTCCAGCCCCCCACTCAAGCAGGAGAACCTCTACCATCTCAGACAAGTGACTGTCCAGTCTCTTCTTAAAAACCTCCAGTGATGGAGCGCCCACGATTTCTGGAGACAAGCTGTTTCACTGCTTAATTGTTCTCACTGTCAGGAAGTTTCTCCTTGAATCCAGGTTGCTCCTCTCTTTGATCAGTTTCAGCTATTGTTTCTTGTCCTGCCCTCTGGTGCTTTGGAGAATAGATTGATCCCCTCTTCTTTGTGGCAGCCCTCAAATACTGGAATACTGTTATCATGTCACCCCATTTCTTCTTTTCTTTAGACTAGCCAAACCCAAGTCCTGCAGTCATATTTGATTACCTTGATTACTACCTTCAGGTAGTCCTTGATTTATGACTTCTGAAATTATGACAGATCTCCCCAAAGGTATTTACTACTCAGTTCTGATAGCCAGTCCACATACACCCCCACAATTGCGTGACTGCATTTTGGGCGCCCAGCAACTAGCCCACATTTATGGCCATTTGAAGTGTCCCGTGGTCATGTGACCATATGAATTTCTGTCCAAAACCAGCGTTTACTTCCAGTTTGGGGAGAAAATGCCCAATAGCAAACAACAGTCACTTAACGATCATGGATTCATTTAACCATAGCAATTTGCTTAGCAATCACTGCAAAAAAAAAAAAAAAGACAGTAAAATTGAATCAGTCATGTGATGGCCTGCTGCATGACCCATCATGACTGTAACAGGCAGGCTCCATTCTTGTTAAGTTGAGGACTACCTGTAACCTATTAAGGGATGAGGTACATGGAATTCACAAAACACCCAGTAGAAGAGTTTATTGAGGACAGTTTGCAAAGAGATACATGTTGCACTAGGCCAGGGCTAGGCAACCTTGGCTCTTTTATGACTCGTGGACTTCAACTCCCAGAATTCCTGAGCTAGCCAGGCTGAGGGGAAAGGAAAAGGTTTCCAAGCTGAGCCATGCTGGCTCAGGAATTCTGGGAGTTGAAGTCCACGAGTCAGAAAAGAGCCAAGGTTGCCTACTCCTGCACTAGGCCTTGCAGTCTTTCACAGACAAAAATATCAAAAAGTGAGTTGGAGCAGACATATCCTAAGTCTATGACACAAATCTGTCCTGAATCTTGCAGGGCGATGGTGGACCACACAAATGTTCAGTTCTGAATAATTGCTGTGACGGCAATGCAAAACTATTTTTCTCCTGGACTCTTCCAGATTCTCTGGACCTTCTCCATCTACCTAGAGTCAGTGGCTATTTTGCCACAACTCTTCATGGTCAGTAAAACAGGTGAGGCAGAGACCATCACAAGTCATTACCTCTTCGCTTTGGGAGTCTACCGTGCCCTCTACCTGTTCAACTGGATTTGGCGCTACCAGTTTGAGGGGTTCTTCGACCTCATTGCCATTGTGGCTGGTTTGGTGCAAACGATACTGTACTGCGATTTCTTCTACCTCTACATTACAAAAGGTATTTCGCAACAAGAAGAAGTGGAAACTAGATCTGCTGACTGAAATCCCATTAGTATGAGATAGAGAAGAAGTGCTCTGCCACCTGTAGTCACCAGGTTTGAATTGGGGGGCCATATAAATGTATTTAATAAATAAATAATTCTCTGGCCTTGAGCAAGGTGCTTGGGATTTTAAAATTATTTGGGAATCGACATCTCAACCACATGTCTCAATATGTGTTGACTAAATGTTACTGCTAAGCTGGAAGTTCACTAGAGGGCACTCTTCAACTAAATTCTTTTTGATGCTGGGAGGTATATTAACTAATAGCTCTTTACTAATTGTAAGCTGACAAATTAATTAGCAGTTTCATCACTCATTTTTCCCTAGGATTAAAAAGAAGCTGCAAAAATAGCGCTCACATATTCCAAACAGTGAGCACTAAAAAGCTATTTCTGTAGGATTGAATAAAATGAAATCTGTTGGATTGGAAATCAAATTAGGTATTCTATTAAAGAATAATAATTGCTTGACAAATAGGTATTTGCTTTCTTACTATTTTTACTTGTAGCATCAAAATTATTTGAACTGTTCGTTGAGTACTGAAATCCTTAACGAAATGTGTCTAAAAAAATGTCTAAGATTTTATTCAGTCTATGTTCATTCATAAAGATCTCCATGGTTGGCTTAGGAATTCTGGGAGTTGAAGTCCACAACTCTTAATATTGCCAATGTATGCCTCTGTAAATGCACATAGGCATACATTTACCACTAAAGTATAATTACAAAATATACAGAGACTTAAAAGCAACCATAAGAAAAAGATTTAATTTACCAGTTAGAGATGTCTTCTTTCAAAAATCCCGTTTCAGTCCAGCTCCCCACTCTGTCCCTCTTCAACAGATATTGACATTGCGTAGTTGCTAAGAATACCCAGGTCTTGTTACTTGATTTAAAAAACATTCTGGATTTCTGCAACTTATATTTTCCACTCGTTAGTGGTCCTCGATTTACGATCGTTTATTCAGTGACTGTTCAGAGTTACAATGACAACGAATGAAGGAACTTACAACAGGTCCTTGAAGTTATGCTGTTGCAGTACCCCTATGGTCATGTGATTGTGATCTGGACCCTTGGCATCCTGTTTGCAATTACGACCAGCTGCCAAGCGTCCTGCAAGCATGCAGTCACCATTTGCAATCTTCCCTGCTGGCTTCCCCAGAATGTCAGTGGGAAAACCAGAAGGGAAGGTTGTAAGCCATTGCTGCCTGCTTAAGAGATTTTTCTGTCGTCTCTGGGGCCTGGCTGAAAAAGCTCCATGCTGAAATCCAAGCAGGGGTTTGGCACAGGGTGTTTTCAAACCCACCCACCCCAAGTTGAGAGGGCTCTCCTTTGGCACACAGTTACTTCTGCAGATTCCTCGTTGGCTTTTGGCATGAAACTTTTTCATTCAGCCTCCAGCCTCTCTGGAAGCTGGCTGAAAACACTGTGCTGAAATCCAGAGTTTTCAGCCAAGGAGGATTTTCATGCCCAGAGTAGAGAGGCTTCAGAAGCCTTTGGAGCTGAAAATTCAAGCACTTCACACCTTGTCCCTCACATCCCCTCACTCCTCTCTTCCACCCAGCAACATTTGGGCTTTTAATTTACCAGCTTCCCCATTGAGTAGATTGTGGGAAGCCACCAGGAAATTGCTTCACCTAATTACCAGGGCATTCACTTAACAACAGCAACTGAACTACCTGGATTTCTGGCACTAAGCACAATGGTTATACTGTATACATCCTTGCTTAATGACAGCAGTCCTGCTCCCAATTAAGTTAAGTTGAAGAGTGCCTGTATTGCTTTTACTAGGCAGACAATTGGAATTGTTATTGAAATAGATACAGTGGAAGGAGCAGTATGTATTATTTCTATTCTGCCATGACTTCTTGCCCTACATCTTTTTTCATTTTTTGATTCCCATAATGGTATGTTAGTATTCCATGCCCAGTAAAATTGCTCAGTCCTCAAAAGGCAGTTTTGGGCAGTATTGCTAATGCATATATATCATGTGCTCATAGTGCTATTTTGATAGGATGACTAACATCCCCTTCCCCAAGTCCTCCCTGACTTTTAATTTATTTGTCCTTGTTTTATCTGGCTCCCCTTTATTAATATATCTTTATGTGGTTTTTGTTTTTATGCTTTTATCTGTACATCACCCAGAGTCACTCTGAGGGTGAGATGGCCAATATCTAAATCTGATGGATGGATAGATAAAAATAAAGCATTGCTATCAGCATATGAAATAAGAGCACAAATGTTATGATGTACTATGTATATTGATGTTCTTGGTTAATGGTTTAATTAAAATATTATTAAAAATACATTTTTCTCTCTCTAGAAGCAATGGTACCATATTATTTGGTACATTGCCTAAAGTTTAAAGAAGTACACGTCTCTAAGTTCTTACCTCTTCTTATTTCTATTTCCTCTTGCAGTTCTAAAAGGCAAGAAGTTGAGTTTGCCTGCATAAGTTAAGATCGAGACTGCAACTAAATACTTTGGCCAAGGAGAATGAAAGGAAAGCTTCACAGAAAATTGAGATTTCTTTTAAAATATTAGTGTCCTATTGATCTCAACTTCCACCCTGAACTTTGATCTAAGCGTGGTTTGAGACAAAACAACAATGGATGGTCCTTCTACAAAGCAGACTGCTATAGTTGGGGGTGAAGTGAAGCACAGCTTGAATCCCAAGCTAATGACTACTCCTGGTTAATATGTAGATTGTAGATTTTTGGGTTTTTTAAACCCATTTTGATCATTCTCTGTGTCTATAATGCTTGAGTATTATTTTTTGATGAATCAGCACAAGTAGGAAATACATTTTTTAAAAAGTCTGTTATCTGTATCCTCTTAGTTTGGGTGTTATATTGATAAACGCTAATATGAAATGCAAGCTTTTCTGTTCATGAAGGCCTGGTGCTACAGAACTATCCAGATAAGACAAGAATGCTTACAAATTGTTACTATAAGTCTGGGTTTCCTTGGATCTCACTTTTTGAAACATTAGTGGCAAGAAAATACCTTCTCCTTTAAATACTTTCACTTACTTTCTCTTCATTTTTGTATTATTTGATGGTTAAATCTTCATTCACTATAAATAAAACCGAAACTCTTCCCCTTATTAATTAGTGCCTTTGTGGAAAGGATGGGAACTTAAATAAAAATAAATTCTGCTTTTTGTGTTTGTAATCTTTGTGCTTCAGGGTATATTGTGTTATTCATGTCTTCATTGTCCCATATTAACTTTTTTATCCTGCTTTTTCTGATCTCTCTTAAAGCAGTGACTTATTCTCCTGGGGTCTATATTAAATGCTTGTATAGAACATGTTTTCTATAAATGCCATGTAACTGCTGCTTCTTGGTACATCATCCCTGAATTGATAACAAAGTTGTATGTTTTCATATGAGAAGAACAATTTTAATGCTATGAACCTGCACAATCAGTGAAACTAATTGAAGCCATGTTTCAGCCAATCTAGACTTCCAATTTGTATTACACCTTGATTTAAAGTACATGTATGCTTACTCAAAAGCGAAATCTTTGGAATATTTGCTTTGAAACCATGAAGGCAAGATTGCACACACAACATGCAATTTTATACAATTAACTTAGAAATAAATCTCATTGAATTCAGTGTAGGAAAGAGCCATTTCTAAATAGCCATACTAAATTACTATCTGTTGAAGTAATTCTCTACTATGGTTCCGTAGCTGGTTTTCTTACATTTATAAAGCGAAATTTGAAATTTGTTTTGAATTGTGATTAGCCATTAGAAAATGAATGTCTAGGCTAAGATTTGGAGCTTATTTACATAATTAAGATTCAGCAGCAATTAAGTTGTCTGGTTTTGGTCATTGTGAATTACCATAGTTCCACAGTTGCTTCCTGTAGAAAACTGATTACTTAAAAATATAACTCGATATTGTATCATTATTAGAATGGGGTAGCGCACTTTATCATTTACATTTTCCCTGGAACTCCTTGCAAAAATTTGTACTTTGTGCTACACCAGTGATTCTCAACCTGTGGGTCGGAACCCCATTTGGGGTCAAACGACCTTTTCACGGGGGTCGCCAAACAACGCAGTCCGCCATTTTTTCCCCTTTTTCCTTAGCTGTGCTTTTGAAAGCCAATAGAATAGACTCTCTTGAATAGAGTCTAATTCTATTGGCTTTCAAAAGCCAATAGGAATTGTCCAGGCTGTCTCTGCCCTGCTGAGCCAGAATTCCTGAGCCAGCCATACTGAGAAGAAATGGAGGTTTCCATGCTGAGCCATGCTGGCTTAGGAATTCTGGGAGTTGAAGTCCACGGGTCATAAAAGCCAAGGTTGCCTACCCCTGATCTAGATAAACATTCAGGCTTTATGAGGCTTTTCTGTATTATTATTATTAACACACAATGACCACTTGTTATATTGTGCTTACAAATTGCTTGCCCATCCATCTTTATTTTTGCTTTGCTTCAGTAAAATCAACTTAAGACTTTTTGGGTTTGTTTTTTTTTAGTAAAATGTTTATTTACTACAGGGACAAATAACTGCCTAGTTATCGGTATTCATTAAGGTTAGTCGATTGGGTACAGGTGTGGATGGATAGGAAGCTGCACCCACATTTTCAGGGAACCCCATATTATTAGGAAGAGAGGTGGTGGTGGATGTAGAAAGGGTGGTTAGAGCAACAGATCCTTCATCCAGCGTCCGCTTATACGGCACAGGTGGCTCAGCCCACAGGTTTTTCACAGCCAGATAGGCTAGGTATCCCTATGGAAGAGAAGCGGTGTCAAGTCAGGTATCTGTAGTCTTCTATTATGATAAGAAATTTGATCTTGTCCTGGGTGATGTAGGATAATATTACTAAATATGGTATAATGCATAAAATATTAGCCTTTCTAAAATAATGTTTGTAAAGAAGGTTTATGAAATGATGACGTATTTAGCTTGATGTAATATTTTTTCAGCTATTTTGCAACAAGCACTTTGTTTCCAACAGAAATAAGTGAAATATACTGAGTTTAATCATCTTCAAATGATGAATTGAAAAAGAGAAAACTTTTCAGAATAGGATTTTTAGGAGAAAACAGAAAACAAGTATTGAGTCCTTAACGTGATATGTATGTTTTCTGCAGTGAACAGAATATCTACAAATTAACTATTCTTCCCACTTGCAACGCAGGACAATATGTGGATAAAACTACAAATATAAATATCTACAAGCCACAAATATCCAAATATGGTTTTAAGATACTATAAATATCAAATACAGGCAATTGTTTCCCCCTACTAAATATGTGTACTTCCTGAACTAAAATGTACATTTCAGTAAACGTTCAGAGAAAATGTACCGGTAAGTAAAGTGAAGCCATAGAATTTTAAATAGTATCAAAATATTGATTGAATATTTGTAAATTTTTGTAAATTCCAGGGCAAATTTCCATCAACAATTGGGATTTTTACAACGGTACTGTGTCTAAAAAAATATTAGCTTTAAGATTAGGCAGCTGGGCTAGCAGAGGATTAGAGGGGAAAATGCAATAGCATCTATCTAACACTTTAGATTGGAGGACCTGATCCTTTGAGAGGAAAGCAAGAACATCTTTGATTTTAGTCTGGATTGAGTCCAAGCCTTCCCCCCCCCCCACATTATATGATAAAAGTCTCTAATACATATGCTCTGTTTATGAAGTCTACATATCAAAATATCAATGACGATATGATTATATTCTCAAGAGTCACATATATGGTCACAGTCATGCTGGATTTCAATGAAAAACTACAGCCCAAGAAGGTCCTTTGTAATAGATAGGAAGCACAGTCTTGTTATGGATAGATCTAAGATAAAATTTTCCTTGGCCATTAATTATTTGGAACCACTAAAATTACAAATGCTCTTTACAACTATATCTTGTAAACTAATTGGAGTCCTCAAGAGAAAAATATGTATTCCTGAGGCCATACAGTGATAAAACATTTCATTTTCCTTACTTTGGATACAGAGATAAGACCTGTTAGCCTAGTTGCTTACTAAAGAAACATTCACATTAACAACTACTATGAGAAATCATTGAATTCCCAAATGAACACTTGGTGGATATTCCTTTTTATTATATAGGTAGAACATACACCATTCTGGACTGGTTCTTAAATTTTGCACATATTCTGCTGATGTTCAAAATAGGCCCTTGCTCAGTCCAACCAAAAAGTGACTTAGTACATTAGGAACTGGGAATATGTTTCCTCTTACTATTTAAGTGGACTTGATCAGATGTCTGGGCTGAAACAGGGTTTGCCCTGAATTAAATATTAAAAAATAGGTATTAATATATTTTTTCAATTTCAACTAATTTATACTGAGATTCTTGTCATGAAATTAGCAAGCTTTGGGGAAAAGAATCTCAATGACCCAAATGTGATGAAAAAGACTCCTGAAAAGGCTTACCTTTAAGAGAGCTACAGAAATGCACCATCTAAGTGATTATGTAACTTCTCTGGGCAATGATTCTGTTTCTGAGTTGTGATGACTCTGAGAATTATAGAATAACAGTTGGAAGGGACCTTGGAGATCTTCTAGTCCAACCTCTGCTCAGGCAGGAAATCCTGTACTATTTCAGACAAATGGTTGTCCAATCTCTTCTTAAAAACTTCCAGTGTTGGAGCATTCACAACTTCTGGAGGCAAATTGTTCCACATTAATTGTTCTATCAGAAAATTTCTCCTTAGTTCTAGGCTGCTTCTTTCCTTGATTAGTTTCCATCCGTTGCTTCTTGTCCTACCTTCAGGCGCTTTGGAGAATAGCTTGGCTCCCTCTAATTTGTGGCAAACCCTGAGATACTGGAACCCTGCTATCATGTCACCCCTTGTCCTTCTCTTCATTAACTAGACATACCCAAGTCCAGCAATCAGTCTTTATATGTTTTAGCCTCCAGTTCCTAATCATTTTTGTTGTTCTTCTCTGCACTTTTTCTAGAGCCTCAACATCTTTTTTAACATCGTGGTGACCAAAACTGGATGCAGTATTCCAAGTGTGGCCTTACCAGACATTATAAAGTGTTATTAACATTTCACATAATCTTGATTCTATCCCTCTGTTAATGCAGCCTAGAACTGTTTTGGCTTTTTTGGGGCAGCTGCAGCACACTACTGGCTCATATTTAAGTGATTGTCCACTAGGACTCCAAGATCCCTCTCACAGTAGAAGGTAGAATGAACCAGTGAAGTGGCCTGAATACGTTCTGGCCATTGACACACAATCTATACAGTTTGACATTCAGAGTGTATGTACAATAGACAAGAAGCACCACACCCAAATATAGACCTACAAATGCTTGATCTATCATATGTTAGATTTTGTTTGCTTAAAGTGATAATAACTGTTTGTATGTTTAATGTTGTCCCAAGAACTGCATCTTGAAAAAATAATTTTCTTCCCATATCTGTGAGAAATCCATACATTCTGTAGGCAGTGCAATATTTTTAAAATAATATTACATTGCGCTGAATGGTAGATCTGTCAATGTATTATCAAAGAAAGAGGCTTTTAATAATCCATGTTTGGGATACATAGTAGAGTAGAGACTACTGTATCATTCTTTGTCTTAAAAGGCTGCAAGATAGTGCTTAAGAATTCAGGATAAGGTGGGAGAATGTAATTGTAAGGTCTGGGAAGAAAATTTAGGTTACCAAGAAAAATGCTAAGCTCTAGGGACTCCTAGTTGGTTTGCTAAGAAAAGTGGCCTTATTCATGCATAAATTCAACTAAACAGATTTAATGGATTTTTAGTTGAGGTAGTGGTATTGGGAAAAAGAATTAATTGTATTTACCCAATAAAACTATACTTTTCTCCAAATAATTATCTGGAAATCGGAAGGGGTTTTTCCATATTGCTATTAAACAAATGAGCAGAAGCTGCAATGACTCATACCATTGTTACTGAAAGGCACAGGTGACTGATTATTTGAAATATTCTTAAATAATTAATATTCCTAAAAATTAATAGAGGAAATTATTTGCCTACTTTTAGTAATAACTAAATCTTGAACTTTCCTTTCTTTTTCAATTATCTCTTTCCGTCACTTCATCTCCAGTTTTATTTCCCCCTTTTTCTTTCCTTGCATTCCCCATACGTCTATTCCTTAGCCTTTCCCCATTTTCATTCTAGCATGAGGTGGGAAGGGTTGCTTCTTTTTTATCATTTCTCTTAAGATGGAGTAGAATGTGATAAATAGATGCAGATGATTGATATTTTAAAAATAAATTGGGTATCTTATTTTACAGGCAATTAATTTAAAATCAAGAGCCAGTTTGGTGTAGTGGTTAAGGCATCAGGCTAGAAACTGGAAAACTGTTGAGTTCTAATCTGGCTTAGGCACAAAGCCAACTGGGTGATCAGTCACTTTCTCTCAGCCCTAGGGAGCAGTGGCAAGCCACTTTTGAAAAAAAAAAAAAAAAGTGCATCAAGAAAGCTGCAGGGACTTGTCCAGGTAGTCTCTGAGCATCAGACATGATTGAACAGAAAAAAACAATAATCAGCAGCCATTAATTAAATTTGTATTAATTCTGTGTTATATATGATAGGGTTTTTCCTGTACTTGTTTATTTCGGTGTACTCTTCCTTGAAGTACCTTACAATTCAGGGTCATCTTCTTTTTGGGTAACTTTTTTAGACACGGGTATATTTTTTACAATCTTGACACTGTTAACTACCCCTATACTCAACTTTTGGAAAGCAGTTTATTACCACCAAGCTTTTAAAAGGGCTCTAAGGAATCCAGGAAACTATGAAAGCATAACAATCCATCTGGTTAAATTGGTGATAAAATTATAAAGCACTCAGAAAAACACAACTTGCAGAAGAAAGATTCAAATTGCTTCTACAAAGTTCAGTCTCAATTCATTAATTTCCTGTTAATTGTGATCATCTCTCTTCATAACTGAGAGAAACTAACAAAAAATCTGCAATTTCTCTGCAGTCTTTAAATTAACACTTGATCAAAGGTGTACTTTCTGCAAAATGTACTTAGTAAACTAGCAGAGTAAGCAGCAGGAATTAAAATGCTCTAAGCTTGGCAGGAGGTCAAGTAAGTTGTTATCAATATGGTCCCTGCTGGATGTAAAATGTATGTTAACTGTTCAGTCTTCCTGAGTTAAAGAACATCATTCATGGACTAGCCTGAGTTCTGAATTGCTTGACTTTCTTCTGTGCCAAGTTTGTAAATAAATGAGTACTACCATTGCTTGTGCATGCAGACTCCTCCTGATTTATTCTATATTTTTTATGGGAAATGTGAGTCACCCAGTTCCATAACAAATGAAGGAATAAACCTACTTCAGAACTCATTCCTGGGCTAGTTTTCTCATTCCCAGAAATTAAAGAAACCAGATTTGTAACTTTAAAGTTTTGAAACAGAAGGTAGGCATATTTTCCTCTTTGTTGTATTTCTATACTTAAAATACTAACATCCCAGAAAATTAGCTTATAGTGTAGGTCGGTTTGATGTCTTCAAAATGAACCATCAACTTTAATTACCAGTCTAAAGGAATTAGGGGCCCATTTCATGGTAATGCAAAATTATTTATGCCCTGGAAGCAATCTTTGCAGGAAATGGGTGACTCAGGTATGATTCCAATAAAAGAGAATATTGTAGCTCAGGGTTGAATTGTGGGGTCCCTGGTACTTTCTGAGTTTGTTTTTACTCATCATCAGCACTGACAACGTTCCCTAGTTTGGTAATGAAACATCTGCAAGAAAATAACCAAGCTCAGAGATCACCAAGGACCTCTAAGTATGATAGTACAGAAAATTACAAGGAAAGCCAACAAACAATGGAAGATACAGAAACTGCAGAAATCAAATAGAAACAGAAAATGTATATTATTTCAATACACAAACATGAGGCATCTTGTGTAAGCTTCTGACAAAATCTGAGAATAGTGCAGAGGTACAGAACCTGTGGTGTTCTAAATGTCACTTAACTACAACTCCCATCTCCCTTCTCTATTGGTAATCAGCCATTCTAGTGAAGGCTGCTAGAAAATTGTAGTTCAGTGGTATCTGCGGAATCATAAGATAATTAGATTTATAATATGATTGTCTATTTGGCAACCACTTCAAATCTGAATGTTACATAGGAGTGTTAGTTTAATTTAGCTCAGTCTGATACATTCTTTTGAAATACCTACATTGTAGCAGTACATTTAAGAAATGATCAAATACATATATTTTGCATGCTGAACCAAACATTTACAATTAAAAAAATAATTTCACTGAAAAGTAAACACCATCCGTTATGCTGTTTATCATCTGATTTAATGATATATGCTTCCTTAAGGCAGTTCATTTGGCTTTAATAAGGTGAAATTATCTTTGTGGCTAATGATACTCTGCAGGGATGTACTCTGCTTCCATGGCAGACTCATTCTGAAATAATAATGGATGTACTTGACTGACTCACCCAGCATGGAACAGAAAGGAAGGCAAAGGCAATGCTAGCCCGTGCAGCACTAGTTCCCAGCAGGTAGGAGTGAGTTGACCGATTCCACTGATTGGCTAGGATACAGAATCCAATAAACCACAGGCATGTCCATGTCACTGAGGAAAGAAGATGACTAAGAATGAGACACAAACAAATAAATTGTATGTTAGCATAAGCCCTGTGAGACCCACTGCTGTATCTGAAAAAAGAACAGTATTTTAATTTTTTAAATTCCTTTGTCAAACCCTGTATAAGGACACTTCTAGACCACCAGTACTTAAAAATTATTGGATAATAGATTTTTTTATGTTGGTACTGTAAGATATTTGAGGATTCTTTAACTTTTAAGATTTGGACTTGTGCAACAATAGCTTTGTTTCAGTTTCAAACCAGCACATATTAAAATAATTTTGGAATAAATTATTCCAAAGTTATTTAAATAAGATTTAGATATGATTTAGATATGATATGAACTATATTCTTAAAATATGAAAATATTTTATGAAAAGTTTGGATCTATTCATAAAGATGATATATAAAGTACTACTGTAAACTCATCCTCCTATTAAGGAATCGAATCAGGATCTGAATCTATAATCTATTTTTGAAACATTTTCTGTTCTAAAAATGAAGATAATATATCACTTAGTGGTACAGATTTAATAAGTGTATTACTCTTCACTATCCAGCCCCAGAATAGTATAAAAGATTGTGTAATAAAGATATATTGTATAAATATTTAAAAAGTGATTACGGGTAGTCCTCAACTTACAACCACAATTGAGCCCAGAATTCTAGTCATAAGTTGTTGCAGTTAAGAGAATTACCATGTGACCTGACTCAATTTCACAACTAGTTTTACAATGGTTGTTAAGTGAGTCACTGTGGCTGTTAAACAAATCAAGTGATTGTTAAACCCCCCCCCCACATAATCATTAAGTGAATCAAGCATATCTAATGGGCACTTTTTTGCCGTTTTCTGCTAGAAAACGGCAAAAAAACATTGCAAATTGCACTTGTGTTGGTGGAATGCTGTAACTGGTCTAATTCTTAGCTGGTTGCCAAGCATCTTTAATGTGACACAAGGAGGGGGTGTGGCAGTCAGAAATTCAAGGATGGATCAAAAGTAGTTTTGAAGTCCCTCATAACTTCAAATGTTAAGCAACTGGTCATTAAGTAATGAGTAACTATATGATGATCAAGTTGTTGACTCTTAGCAACCATATTTAAAAAAATGTCCATAGTGATCAGTCCCTAATATGGTCTTTAAAGTGTTTCATCAGTGCACCCACTGATGATTGAGTCCATCCAGCTTGCTGCTGGTCATCCTCTTCTTCTCTTTCCTTCCACCTTTCCCAACACTAGAGCCTTCTCTAGAGAGCTAGGTCTTATAATCTAAATAATGTAGTTAATCCTTTGTAAATATTAATAGGAAACTGTACACCATCAGTCAGATCAATAAATAAACTATCGTAAGGTCATACATTTTGGGGGAGAAAAAGAAAGCAATTTGAAATAGCTAAAAACGCAGAAAACAAGATAAAAAAATAAAATGCCCTAAAACTGCAAAGTGGGCACAGGAAAACAGAGTTTCTATCTCTTATTTTCAGTTATTGACTCTGTACTGTTGCCTCATTAAGGAAAAGCTTTTAGCTTCTCAAAGAAATCTATAATTATCAGACATTAAAAACAATAAATAAAGGCAATAAACAGCAATAAAATAATTACAGTGGGCCCCAATTTTTTTATTTTATTTTAATAGAAGATCCACATGGAAGAGAACTTGTTCTCCCTGGAAACAAGGTACAAAGCCTAGAAATGTGCCCATTTTCATCACTGCTTATTGTCAATACAAATAATAAAGGAACCCAAAGAAGGGCCTCTGAAACAAATTTTAATAACTGGATAGATTCATATGGAAGATCAGTAATAGTATAATCACAACATGGTCAAACGTAGATCAAATCTAACAGCAGTTGGATTGTAAAATAAGGTTGATATTTTCAAGTTGATAGAACTTGTGATTTCAATGGGGAGAGGTGGTTGGGAGACATCACGATTGTAATGGCTTGCTATCTGGAGGGATAGTATAGGAGTGAGAAAATATGAGAACAATTTTGATAGATGTATAAATATTTAGGATATTGGGGTTCTCAGGCATCAGCTATCTGCTAATTATTGTTAAATATTGAAATTTAACCCTATGATTATTTTCAAAATAACAAAAAAGTTACTCACTAGAGAAAGTAACATCCAGTACAAGGATAGCATACTTGAACTTGTGATTAGTAATGCAAGTATCATAGACATCACAGCCTAAAAAGAGGAGACACTGGAGAAAAGAAAGTACACCAACTGTGATGCCAAAGCAGCAGACTGCCCCATTATCATTAAAAATACAATGTAGCTGGGAAGAGGTTGTCAAGTTTTGATATCCTTCAGTCACCAAGGAGGCAAATATTACCAGAGAGAACACCTGAGGCAAGAGAAAGAAATGGACATATTAAATACAAATGTTTGAATACTATGTGCACTACATGAAATACGTTTTTTGCAATTAACTCTTGTAACTGATCTAAACATCATTCTTTTGAATCTGCACTGAGACAGAGAGAAAAATCAACCTGATCATTCACTTCTTCTACAGCCAACATAAGGAGCAGGGAAATTTATCTATGGGAGTCAGAGCGTTACCTCTGCCCCAAAGGATATACAGTCTATAGCACAGCTAAAACAAGAAAAACAATGGTGGAAAATAATTTTCCAAGTAGTCCACCAAGGTGCTATTCACCTGAATTTTCTATGGACAGGAAGGCACATAATTATCTCATCTCTTCCTCAAGACAAGCAGTTCAATAAAAAGCTTGTGAATAACTCAGGAAATTGGAGAATTGAACCCATGCTGAACCATACTCATGTCTGAGAATGCATGCAGCTTACATGCCTTTGGTATATATGCCAAGGCTAAGCCTTGAAGATCTCAATAGATTTGATAGGAATTTATCAGCAACTTGCGCTTTAAATGTTCCCTATATTTAAGATTTTCATCAGACATTAATCTTATTCAAATCATCATTTGTGGCTTTGAACTTAACAGCTTGATCGTAATTTAAAAAACCAAAATAACAAACCTTATTTTACAAGTACTGTAGTACGCAAGTGAGGTAGTCACATTTGTATACAAAATGATTACACTAAGTGAAAAGTATAAGACATATGTATTATTATTCAGATAACAGAATTTGGGATGTGGACCCAAATGCTAGGAAAACTAGAAGGCAGGCAGTTCAGCTTTCTAGAAGGAAAATCAATGAAAAAGCTGGCAGGAAGTCAGAAGCTGCTCCCACTCTCACTTCTTTTTTGCCTACCCATGGCCATTCTGTTTCTTGTTTTAGTAAGGAAATATCTCTGAAATAACCCAATGGGTCACAGGTTATCTACTTGTTTATAAAGCAAAGGACTGGATTATATTTGAGAATAAAAATATTATGATTATTCTGATATAGTACAACCTATCCTAATAATGTGTGTTGTCATAGCCTCTTTTTGGTTCCTAATTATTAGAGCACTATGAAAGAATTCTGAAGTTAAAACTGCTTCAAAAACTATATGTGATCCCAAATATAGAAGCCATGATTAAGTAGTTATTTTGTCTCACCCCTGCTAGTGTTCTAGCAACAATCTGAGGTTGTATGAAGAAGTGCACCATGTCATGGTCTGAAAGGTCCCGCAAGACTGAAGTCATTTTTCTCATCCTGTAGTTGACTTTTTATCATTAGAACAAAGTTGAATCTGGAAAGTTGCTGTGAATTGAAGCTGACAAACATTATCTGGATTTTAAGAAGATAATACAAATATTGCTACGATTGTATCTATCAACACCTAACATTTTAAAAAAATAGAGTAGTTTTTTCGGAGTTCTATTTCTGCCTTAGCACAGCCTGACTTTAATCTAACCAACTAGGCATGTGAAAGGTGGCCAACAAAATTGTGATTATGAAACATTTGAAGCAATATATAGAATTTTCCATTATCTTTTAAGATAACTTTTAATTAAAATGTTCCTTTAGTTGTACAACAAAATGAACTAGCAGCATTTAGTGAGTGATAGCCATACTTCTGATATACAAGTTTCAAAATATAATTTTATTTAGACAGCTACATGTTTGTTACCATCACTCCAAGATATGCTCCGGAACATCAATTATATGAGTTCATGCATTTTTGAGTACATAGTTAAATATCATTTTTCAGCTCATATTTAAATTTCTTAGTGGAAAAGAGGGCTAATATCAGTTGGCACCCCAATGACGGAGCGCAATCAAATACTGCTCAAAAGGTGTTATTTACCTAGTATGCCTTTTCATTTTGTTCTCAGAATCTAATTTCATGGTAAATATTGCAAATCTGATTAGTTTTGTCTAAAAAATTATGTGTAAAAAAGTTTTACTATTCAAATTTCTTGCGTTACTCCCTTCAAAGAAATAAACTTACCTATTTGGTTGTACATATTTACAAATTGATCTATTATTTTAAATTCCATGTGTAAATGCAGCCCTAAACCTATTCCTTTGATTTCTTTTCCTACCTGAGAACCATTGAAAAACAATGGCAAGAGTGTTAGCACAGAGGATCTGGACTGAATCTCTGCTCAAATTTGCTGGGCAATTTTAATCTAGGCATTGTTTCTGTGCTGTTAGAATAAAATAAGGGAAAAGGAAAACTGTGTAGCCTCTGATTTCTAAATAAGGATCCATTTAAAATGCAATTAAATATATTAAAATAAGTTGCTCCCTCATGGTAATTATACTGTTTTGTTATCCTCAATATTCAACTATGGCTACATATATTCTTTGCCTTGGAGAAAGTATTGTAACAAAGAACCCAAACTGTGTCCCTTATTTTTTAATTTAGTCTCCTTTCCTCAGCCTGAAGTTGCTTCAATTCTCACAATCTCTACTCTCTACACATGAACAGGGACAATACATCCTGAAAATGGCAGATGGGAGAAAACTTAGAAGCTCAAATTAAACATTGTAAGGGACTGCACGATAAAGCCTACTCAGAAATGAAGGACTCAGCGCTTTACATTTTCCTGATCATCCTAGAACATCTCGGAAGCGCCCTCTTTCCTCACTTACCCCTTGGGGAAAATGAGGGAATGAAGTTTTTCCCGCCTTTTCTATCTCGTCACGTGCCCATGGAGGGAGGGGGGGAAGCGCTTGAGAGAACTCGAAACCTGAATGGTCGGGAAAGCTGCCAGTGCCTCTTTTCGAACGCTGGAGCGTTCAACAGGGCAGTTGGAAACGACTGTTAGGGGCGGGAGTTAGAATGACGCCGGCGAGGATTCTATAGAATCCCGCGTGCCCGGCGGAGGAACTGCAGTCATCTTTTGCCGGTCCAAACAAGGACGAATTAAGCTATACTGCGCATGTGCATAAACGGATTGGAAAGAATTTCCGATACTATGGAATTCTTTTGATTGTTGCAAGCGCCCCGTGGTTTGGCCATAGAGACAGGAAAGAAAAATGGTATAGAACAACAAACTCAGCTTCTCTTAAATCGAAATGTTTTCAGTAGTTCTCATTGAGTAAAAAGCGAATGATACAGAATGGCTCCATTCTGACCCTAAATGGTATTTTGCTGAATCAGAACAGAATTGATGGGCAAATAAGTTTTATCCTTTACGGGTAGCTTTTTAAAAATTTTTATCTCTGATTTATGGGCCCAGTTTAGCTCGCGACAAAATCGACCTAAACCACTGCGCAAGCGCACGACGTAACGTGAAGTTCCCCGGGAATAGCTGCTGAAAGATTAGAATTGAGGGCGGAAGAGAAAAAGAAACATTGTGCGCATGTGCCACCAAATTCAATGTCAGGCTTCTATTTAAAGGTCAGAGCTCGTTGCTCCAATAGTGGACTTTGGGGGGGGGGGGTGTCTGAATTGGATCTGTAGTTGAAAGGGTTTTTTTGTTTGTGTGAAGAGGGAGACAAAAATAACCTGCTTGGGTTGTAAGTTGGTCGGGGCCTTTAATTTCAACAGTTCGGATAGCCTGATGATTTTACCTGTGACTTTTTAACCTCTGTTGTTCTGTCCTGGTTGTGAGCTTTCACATGCGATTGCGGGTGGTGGTAGTGGGGAAAGTACCTTGTCATTTGTGCATGGTACCTCCATGTTAACTGAGCACTCTTTACCAGCAGCTTATAAAAAAGATTGATTTGCTCTACTTGATTTCTCAAAGTTTTCTACATTTGCTGCTTCAAAAGATGCCTGCTGCAGCTCTTCAAGCAATGTGGTTGCAAAACAATGTCAGTTTGAGGAAACTTAGCCAAGGAAGATAGATATGACTGTGCTGCCATTTTTTAACTGTTAAGGTTTGGAGTCTCCCAGAATGCTGAGCATAACCCGGTTAGCCCTGGGCACCAAGATTATAGGATTGTCTTTGCGTGGCAAGGCCTCCCTTGCTGCCACAATGGTGAAATATCGGAAGATGTGGAAGCCAACAGAACCACAGAACTGGGCAGTGGATTATCAGGAGAAATACATCCCGTTTTCCAAGAATCAACTGGTTGAAGCCCTGGTAAAGGTAAAAATAGGCTTCTGACATCCCTTGAATGCATTGCACAAAAGCAACATTCACAATCACCCCTCTCAGCTTTCAAAATATTTCATGCCTCAAAACAGCATAAGCAAATTTTAGAACGTGCGGATAGCACTTGGTGAAATCATACAAGCAAGCAAAACGTGTCATCCCTTCTCATAGTCAACACAAACAGCAATAGTGTGAAATGTTGTACGGTAATATATTGTATATTGGTTTACTTGATGTGCATGATCTGTTCAGATTCCAAAATTTAGTTTCTTTTGGCCCAGTCAGTGCTTGCTTTAGTATACCAAGTGTTTTCTTTTCGCAAATTATCTGCAATCTTGATTGCAGAACCTAATTTTTCTTCATCCCAGAGTTCTCAAGGCAGGTCCCTTGCCTGTTAAGTAGGGTCTGTTTCATGAACATGTAGAGTTTAAATTAAGCCAATCTTAAAAATCTTTCCTGATGGGGTGAAGTTTCTGAAGTGGTGAGATGGGCCAAATGGGATGAACCTTTGGAAGAGAACATTCTGAAGAAATGAAAACGCTTCTTGAAACAAAGTGCTGTTTGTGTGGAAATTGAAGAGTAGAGGAAACAGTGATTTAAATTTTGCTAAACAAAAGTAAAACAAATGGAGGAAAAGTATAGCATATGGAGAGGAGGAGAAGGCAGTTATCCTATGTATGATGAGTGGCATGGCATGAAAAAAATGAAAGGGTGACAAATTACAAGCTTTTGTAGGAAGGAGAAAAGATATAAAAGGGAATGAAAGAGGAATTCTGGTTACAATTGATAGTTATCTAAATGCCTTGATGGTTGATGAACAGCAACATCATAATGTTGCCCTGGAAGCCTTTTGTGTTTGCTTTGATCATTTGATGTTTAGGATCTTTTATCATTAAATCGGAAAATACTGTATATTTTGCTCATTTAACATGGGAAGGCTTGTAATAGAGAGACTCACTCTAGAAAGGTAGAATAGCCTTTACTAGACAGAAGCAGTCCAGATACTGAGCACAGATTATAAAAAGTTGACCTCTAAGATCTGGAGTACCTAGGACAACAGTGATCTGGAGAACATGAAGTGAATTCTTCTGAAATATCTTTACTACTAGGCAGAGGGAGATTACACAGAGTGTAAGCCTTTTGCACTGTAGACCTGGATTAGTGCTCAGTTATAATGCTTATTTTATATATATATATAGGACAAATTAAGGATACTGATCCTACTATATTTACCTATTTTAATAATGATGTATGAAACTTATAGAAATAAGGATTTTTTTTTCTTGTCCAGAAGTTCTTTACTGCCAAATTGGCCATTTTTACTATAGTCATGGATAAAAAAAATGGAGAAACATAAAAGTATGAATTGGAAATCTGAAGTCTGTTTATGAAATATTCCATTTTTTCTCTCATTGGTGGAGACACAAAGCATATAACTGAAGATGTAAATTTCATTATAGGTAATCCTTGACTTATAACCACAGTTGGGCCCAAAACTTCTGTTGCTAATTGAGATATTTGTTAAGTGAATTTTGCCCCATTTTATGACTTTTCTTGTCACACTTGTTAAGTGAACTGTTGCAATTGTTAAATTAGTAACATGGTTGTTAAATGAATCTGACTTCCCATTGACTTCGCTTGTCGGAAGGTTGCAAAAGGTGATCACATGACCCCAGGACACACTGCAAACATCATAAATAGGAGTCAGTTATCAAACATCTGAATCTTGATCACGTGACCCTGGAGATGCTGCAATAGTAAGTGTGAAAAATGCTCCTGTCTTTTTTTTCCAGTGCCGTTGTAACTTCAAATAGTCATTAAATGAACTGTTGTAAGTTGAGGACTACCTGCTTTGTTAAAAAGATGTTTGAGCTGCATGTTGCTATTGAATCTGTTAAAACATCTGACTTTAGAAAGTTGTCTTATGTCAAATCTGCATATATATCCTAAACTGTTATAATTTCAAGAATATCAAAATATTTACTATTTTGTACTCCTTTTAATTGGATTTTTAAAATGGAACTTTCTACATGCAAAGCATGTATTCTGTTATTGAACAGTGGTAACTTCTCTAATAGATAGAAATTCACAATCTGGCATTCTGCACAAATATTCCCAGATACGTTGATTACTAGAAATGTTAGCTAACTGACCTGTTATCCAATAATTCATCTATCGAGATGGAACTCATAAGAAGAGGCCCATACCTCAATGAAATTTCAGACATGCCTATTGAAGAATTTAGGCTACTTACCATTGTAGACCAGTTTTGAATTGGGGAAAGAGGAATTTCCCAGTAGCTATGACTGCAAAATTCCTATTGTGGATATTATTACAGGTCATGTTCAAAAACTGTATTAAGCTGTATTTAAGCTGTATTAAAGAGAAGTTGCTGGAAATAAATGGAAAACTATAAGGATAATGATTCTGCAGCACGAGGATAGGCCACTAATTCATAACTACAGAGATGGCAGTGCACCAAACCTGACTAAACAGTTATATTTATGGGTAGTCTTCAACTTATAACAGTTCATTTAGTGACCATTCAAAGTTAATGGCACTGAAAAAAAATGACATGACAATTTTTCACCCTTACAATCTTTGTAGCAGCCCCATGATCATGTGATCAAAATTCAGATGCTTGGCAATTGGTTCATACTTATGACTGTTGCTGTGTCTCAAGGTCATGTGATCAGCTTTTGCGATCTTCTGACAGGCAAAATCAATAGGGAAGCCCGATTCACTTAACAACTGTGTTACTAGCTTATCAACCGCAGTGATTCACTTAACAACTGTGGCAAGAAAGAACGTAAAATGGGGCAAAACTCGCTTAACACATGTCTCACTTAACAACAATATTTTGGGCTCGATTGTGGTCGTAAGTTGAGGACTGTCTGTTTTTTGGTACGGTACTACCCAAGGAACATCTCATTAAAACAACTGCTTCTTATTGGCCATTTTAGGGATGAACTGGGTTACCTTTTTTCCCCTTTCTCAGGAGTTCCACTCTTCTAATCCCGAAGAACGCATCTCATTCTTGCAATTTGTGTCTCAAGTGGACTCGTCCCTTGTACACCATTACTACTCTGTTTTGGAGCAGCTACAGGTAGTTGCAAACTTTCTTTTTGCAGTCAATTTATAAAAATTGTTCCAGTCTATGTAGAAGATAGCAAGGGAGGTGGTTGTTAGGACAACAACTGTTAGTAAGAGTGTTTAGTATTACTGAGAACCCCCCCAAATATTTAAATGTATTTTTTTAAAAAAACAAAAAAACATAGCATTTTGCCATTTTTCTAAATAAAAATAGCTCCTTGCTAAGTAGGATGGCAGAGAAATGGAGGTAACTATGTGCCTCCTTGGTTGGGTTGCCTGACTTCCTTTGCTAATAACAGGTAGAAGCTTCCTTTTCCTTATAATGAATGGAAACACAAAAGGAGGGAGAAATTGCTCTACCCTCCCCATCTATCCTTCCATTATGAATATGAAGCCGTGGCAATTTGTCTCAATCTTGAACATGGGTCAGATTGTAATATAGGTAGTCCTCGATTTACAACCATTTGTTTAATGACCATTCGAAGTTACAATGGCACTGAAAAAAATGACTCATGGTCAGTCCTATCGCTTAACGATCGTTGCAGCATCTCAATGATCACAAGATCAGATAAGGGTGCTTGGCAGCCAACATACATTTACAATACCTGCACTGACCCGCTGTCATGTGATCGCCATTTGTGACCTTCCCAACCAGCTTCCGATAAGCAAAGTCAAGGGGGCGGGGAGCTGGTTTCACTTAACAACTGCGGTGATTCACTTAACCGTGGTAAAAAAAGGATGTAAAATCAGGAATGACATTAAACAATAATGGAATTTAATTGCCTTGCTTAGCAATAGAATCCCATTTGGGATCATAAGTCCAAGACTTCCAGTAAAGCCATTTCTCAGTCACAAACTGAACCGTGATTTGCAGTATGTTAGTGTATTTTAAAATTGATCCAGTGTGTTCTCTGAATCAAGACCCAATAACTATCAGTTACATTATGACTATTGCTCATCCCAAAAATGTTTATAGAGTGCAGGAATGTCTGCAGCTGGTCTGATAACAACATTTCCAGTCAGCTTTCACCCTATGTGGTGATTTTGTTTTGAAAATAAAAGAGCTGCGGAGAATTAGCTCTCCTGCATCCTGCAGGTTACCATTCCAATCTTGAGCAGGAATCAAGATTGACATTTATTTGCTTGCTTGCCTGACCAAAAATTGCTAAAATACTGACCCCAAAGGAGATGAAATCATAAAAAGTGATCAGCATAATTTTCTGTACTCTAGTATAGAATACAGAATTTTACGACTTGTGGACGTTGGACTGTGCTGGACTGTGGACTATGCTGGCTGAGGAATTCTGGGAGTTGAAGTCCACAAGTCTTAAAGTTTCCAAGGTTGGAGACCCCTGCTGTGGTACACATTTACTGCATGAGAAATCGGAAGGAGAGCGGTAGCATCTTTCCCGGCTAACACAATAAAGTTTACGCCCTTTAATAAAATGTATTACTATAGTCAGAAAAGATGCTGCCAAACTCATTCTGATTTTTACCACCGGCGTCTTAGATGACTCTCCTCCTCCAATATTTTCTGGACGAGGGTCAGTGAAATGTTACATTCCTATTCTTGATTGGTGAAGAAAAAGCTACACTCTCTGCCCTTTCAGCATGGAAACTAAATAACTGGTAGAGAAAAGATGGAATACAAGGAGTCCTTGACTTACAACCGCAGTTGAACCCCAAATTTCTGTTGCTTAGCGAAACAGTTGTTAAGTGAATTTTGCCCCATTTTATGACCCTTCTTGTCACAATTGTTAAGTGAATCATTGCAGTTATTAAGTTAGTAACACGGTTGTTAAGTGAATCTGGCTTCCCCATTGAATCTGTTTCAGAGAAGGTCACAAAATGTGATCACGTCATCCTGGGACACTGCAACTATCATAAATATGAATTGATTGCCAAGCATCTGAATTTTGATCACATGACCATGGAGATGTTGTAATGCAGGGGTCCTCAAACGTGGCCCTTTTATGACTTGTGGACTTCAACACTGGCTGAGGAGTTCTGGGAGTTGAAGTCCACATGTCATAAAAGGGCCAGGTTTGAAGACTCCTGCTGTTACGGTTGTAAGGGTGAAAAATGGTCATTGGTCACTTTTTTTCAATGCACTGCAACGTTCAAAGTCACTGAATGAGCTGTTATAAGTCAAGGACTATCAGTAATTCATTCCTTCTACTTGTTCACCCACTGTTGCTGTGATGATGATTTCAATAATAAATTGCCCACGGTGACCAGGGATAAACAAGTATGCTGTATTAATCTTCTCACTTATGCCTTCCCCTTCTAGACACTCTATACACCTATTGATCCTGATCGGGACACATTGCAGGAATTCTGTTTGACAGATGCCGAACGGTTAATAAAAGAACAGAGAGTTTTGGCCAAGATGGAACCACTATTGGATCAGGCCAACTTCAACAAGTTGTCAGAAGAAGCACTGGCTTATGCACTAATTGTCAATCACCCTCATGATGAAGTCCAGGTGTGGCCTGCAATAAAGATCACCCCCACTCCACCTTTTTCCTTCAGGTGTCCCATCTGTGTTATATGTGATAGAGGATGAAGGGGTCCTGAAATGGTAAAACAAGCTGACATTTTAAATACCTTGTGGATTTTCCTTGACACACCTTTTGTAATCTTAGTTATTCAGGTTTTCTTCCTTGGAATGGTACAACTCGCCGTGGCTTAACTTGCCACAGCCAATTTGCCACAGGAGAATTCCTTGCAGGAGAACTCAACAAGTACAAAAGATAAATCAATTTCAATGGAACCATGGCCAATAATAATAGTCAATCCAGAAATACAAGTTACAATAATTTCAATGAAAACATGGTCACTAATAAAAAAAAAGTAACTGAATGAATTGATTACTACAGTATTGAATTGTCGTGCAGCAAGTTGTCCTGCGGCGAGTTGGCCATGACACATCGGGTGTGGTAAATTATTCTAGACCTCTCTTCCTACTCTCATCTTTTCCCTGATGGTTTTCTGTTTGTATGGATCATTTTTATGTATGATTTCTCTGACTGCAATCAGAAATGGAGAGGTTTTTGCTTAACAGTGCCATTTTTCTTAAGCCAAGGCCTATTAGTTTCCAGCAGTTCTGTCTTTTGAGATTCTTATAGCTAAAATGCAAATCCTATCTATCCCTTTCCCTCACTTTTAAAGTTTCGTGAAGTGGGATTTTCTTAAGCTGGGGTTATGCACAAAGGCAAATTACATGAGTGGAACAAAATCTTAGAATTTCTTTGGATGGTATTGGAACTCTCCAAGCCCACAGATAAAAATTTCCAAACTTCTCAGTATTATTCAGTCTTTCACTTTGCCTTACTTTGATCTTGTCCAGCAGGATATCCTTTGAAAGCAACTAAGACACACAGTTTCTTTCCCCTATAACTGGTCAAGTGCCAATCAAAAAGTCATCACCAGGATATGAACGACAGCTTGTTTGTGTTCCTCGACCTTCATAATTACAAATGACCATATTAAGAGGCATGTACTGTCTGATGCTGGAAAAATGTTTGGCCTTTTTCTCCATAGATTTGTCTTTTAGCTTTTAGCACCATCTAAAGCGCTGCCTATGTTGTGCCTTATTCATAATTAACATGTAGTTTCTTTATTAGAAAATTGTATGTTGCCCATTATATTTATAGTTTGGGGCATCTTACAAGATGTCGTAAAACGTTGCTACTATCTATTAAGAAATGAAATGCAGGTAATACATACAGTAATACATAGAGAGTACAAAATTCTGGCTAGTGGCAGGATATCTTGGCTGCTAGGGATCATAATTTTCTTTATTTTTTGAGGCAGCAGGTAGATGCTGAATGGTATTAAATCTAAAGGAAGACTTATACTTTTTTTAAAAAAAAGTTTTCAGCTGAAAAAGAAAAGCATAAATCATGTATCTTGATAGTTTGCTTCCAAAGTTTGATATTATGACTTTTGAAGGCCACAAAACAGAACTTTGGGGATCGCATTGCCTATCCTTTGGTAGATTCTGATTTATTTATTTATTTATTTGTTTATTTTTGCATCTGTTTTGTATTTACTAAAAAAGACCCATAAAAACATAAGAAAAATTATAGAGCCAAACAAATGATTCTACTCATATATAATTTGTCTTTGTGTGTAACCCCGGACTAAGAAAATCCCAATTCATCAAATTTTAAAACAGAAGGGGTAGGATTTGCCTTTTGGCTGTAAGAGTCTGAAAAGACAGAAGTGCTGGAAATGGATAGTGTCTAGCTTGAGATAATGAGACTGTAAGCAAAAACTTCCCCATTTCCGATTGCAGTCAGAGAAATCACACATAAAAAATATTTACATTAGGCATAGAATTCCCATTATAGATGTAGGGTCCTGACCCACTAGCATCCAAGCATGTAATATATATTTCTTGGCATGTTGAGTTTTCTGTTGGGGGGGGCATGTAGTTACTTTTATCTTCTTCACAACCCATCCCTGAAACAGCAACAAAAACCTTAGATATTCCAGTGTTAAAGTGATGTTTTCAGCCTTAACCCAGCAGTATTTAACAGCCACTGCAAAGTATATAAAATTTGTTCTTGTTACTTTGGAGGCAGTCAGGTGACCCATTGAACCTGGGATCAACCTGAATCTATTGATCACTTCAGACTGGGGCTAAGGCTGACTCTTCCTCTCAGATCCATGGTGTACTTCACCAAGGCCACAATAGCATAGTATTTTGGTGAGTGAGAAAATCCACCCCTTTTGAACCAGATTTGCCTGTTGTAACATCTTCTTCTGGAGTTTACAGATCAGCTACAAGTTGCCATGGCTGGTTCATAGAATTGGTAAAAATACAAGCCATTGTATTTTCCTTAGAGATCCAGTTCAGTGTAGTGGTTAAGGTGCTAGCCTGGAAACCAGGATACTGCGAGTTCTAGTCCCACCATAGGCATGAAGGTCAGCTGGGTTATCTTGGGCCAGTCACTTTTATCCCAACTCACTTCACAGAGTTGTTGGGAAAATATAAGGAGGAAATAGCATTACGTACTGTAGGTTTGTCCTCTTGAGTTACTTATAAAAATAATAAGCGCAGAATAAAAAACAAATAAATTTACCATTTCCCAGAGCTAACAGGTGCTATGAGAGGTAGCAGGCTACAAACTTGGCTGTCTCATTTTACCAAGTACTGCTCAGCAGAGTTGGGAAGATACTGGATTTTGATATGCAGTTTGACTCAAGTGGCAGAAGCCCACTTTCAGCACATATCTGGGGACTTGAGCAGGTGACAGGTATTTACAGCTGGCTTGAGCAGTATTATGGTGATAGATGGCTTGTTTCCCCATCGCCTTGTAATGTTCAGAATGTGGGAGTCCCTAATAACTTGTATTTTCATGTCAGTTCTGGCTTCCGTTCTTCAGGTGACAGTGAATTTGGATCAGTACGAATACATCACCTTCTGGGCTCTTGGCCAACGGATAGGACCTCTGCGGGTGATGGCTGCAACTCGAGCCCAGAGGACGGACTTCTTCAGCACTGCTCGGATTCCTGCAGACAGGCAAGAAAAAAAATGGTCTCCTTAGTATCTGTTGCCACCTGGAGATCCTTTTGGGGGCGTATTCCCAAGACCCGGCCTTCTAACAGGTCAGATTTCTGTCCATCTAGGTTGGTGTTATCTACTTTGTCTTAAGAAGAACAAGTGATGGAACAGACCATAGACTGGCATTCTGGTAGTCTGAGTAGGACTTTAAAAGGATTCCACCACCAAATATTGAGAGCAACTTTGCCCTCAAGGTATTCCTCTGCCACTAAATTCAGAAGCGTATTATCTCTGATCCTGGATGTAGTCTAACATGCCATTCTCCTCACCTTTTCAAGATGGCCCAGTCACATCTTTAAGAAATCAATTGCATGGTGTGGTGAATTTATGTGGTTCTTTTCTTGTCTCATAAACCTGAAGCTCTTTGCTTGTAAAACTGTTAACTGAGCTGTGGTCCTTCCACCCAGTTTTATGTGCTGTTGTAAATGAGATACTATAGATGGGATGCTTAACAACTTGGAGGGAAATGCTTTATGACTTCCAAGTGAAACGTTCATAAAATAAGCTTACTGATCTTTTTCTTGAAATTTCTGTGGATAGAAGACTGTAAAATATATTCTCAGGGCAAAAAAAAAAAAAGAATGCTCTTTCTTAGAAGTTAAATGTTTCCACCCACGTTTTTGTGCATCAAATGCTAAGATTTACCCGCGGAAGCTTTTTTAGGACATTCTAAATCTAAGCTGCATTTGGGTTGGCCAGATGGTGCTCCTTTCCATCATCCCTGCTCTGACAAGGTTTGATTACTGTATCCCAGTTCCTTTAAATCAATGTTTCTCAAGTTCAGCAACTAAGATGTGTAGATTTTGGCATGCTGGCTAGAATATTCTGGAAGCTGAAGACCACATCTTAAAGTTGCTGAGGTTGAGAAACATCAAAATGTATATGGCTCTCAATTTCCAACAACTCTGTTGGATGGTGATAAGCTTACATGTTTAATTTATTGTCCAATTCTTAACTTGTAACAGCAGATGTATCTGTGATTTCTAATTCTGCCTTAGGGACTGTGGACTTAGAGTGACATTAAGCTGGTCGCTCACTCTCAGCTCTAGGAAGAAGAAATCAGTGGCAAATTACTCTTGAAAAATCTTGCCAAAGAAAACGGCAAGGCAGTTGCCAGGAGTCAAAAAATGGACTTAAAGGCACAAATAGTAAAAATGGAAGGGATATAAAGATTTTCATCCTAGAAGGTCCATTCTACCCATTATAGCAGGATGGCAATGAATGTGATGGCCTAGATCAGGGGTAGGCAACCTTGGCTCTTTTATGACTCGTGGACTTCAACTTCCAGAATTCCTGAGCTCAGGAATTCTGGGAGTTGAAGTCCATGAGTCATAAAAAGCCAAGGTTGCCTATCCCTGGCCTAGATAAAAAGTTATATTCCAACAGGACCCTCCTACTTTTTGCCAGCTATTTTTATAGAAGATTGCATTAATGCTAATATAATATTACTAGGCATAACAAAATACCGTATTGCTTGTTCTTCATGAATTAACATAGCAAAATTAACATAGCTTGACATAGCAAATTACCATACTGTTTATTTTATTTACAAATTATGGCAGATTTGGTCATGCTTGACTATGATTTGTCCAAATTGATTAAGGACGCCACGCAACATATGATATTTTTGGCATGTGATACTGCAGGACTGTTCTGAAGCAGAATAGATTATGGAATGAAATCATAAAATGAAAAATGAGACTTGCCAGAAAGATTTCAGTTTTTCAACTATGGAAAGTTTCAACCATGGAGATGACAGTTAATTTTCAGCAATCAAGTTGGTTGTACTTTTAATTTGCATCTTAACCAGAATAGAAGTCTCACAGAAATGTTCCCAGTTTTCCACATTGTCCCATTCAGCTTTGAGGAAACATTCAGGGGAAAAGATATTTGGGGAGAAAATTATAATATTTTTATTATTATTTGTTATTAATTTTGTGTATATCCTATTCTTTCTCTTAACGGGATGGAGAGATTTGGCTGTAATCATCTCATCTTTTGTACAAACATTTTTTTTTAGTTGTTTGTTCCAGATTTTGGCATCCTCCACATCAGGGATGTCAAAACTGCCAGCCCACGGACCGGATGCGTCATGGGGAAACTGCATCCACCCCATTGCCAGCAATGGAAAAAAAGTCGTGATACATCGTGACATGTCACGTGACGCGGCGAGTTTGACACCCCTGCTCCAGATCATCTATATTGGCAGTACCGTGACATTTTGTGACCCATAATAATCTGCCCTCTTTTTTTTTCAGAGCTCTTGTATCAGAACCCCTCAAGAAACTTTTTGTCAAAAGGGTAATTGAGTTACTTCCATGCCAATAAAATACCACTACAGGTAGTCCTCAACTTACAACAGTTCACTTAGTGGCTATTTGAAGTTACAACGGCACTGAAAAAAGTGACTTGTGACCGTTTTTCACACTTACGATCGTTGCAGCATCCCCATGGTCGTGTGATTTACATTCAGATGTTTGAAAACTGCCTCGCATGTATGAGAGTTGCCGTGTCTGGGGGTCATGTGACCTTTTGCGACCTTCTAACAAGCAAAGTCAATGGGGAAGCCAGATTCACTTAACAACCATGTTACTAGTTTAACAACTGCAGCGATTCACTTAACAAATATGGGAAGAAAAGTCATAAAATGGGGCAAAACTCACTTAACAAATTTCTCACTTAGCAACACAAATTCGGGGCTTAAATTGTGGTTGTACGTTGAGGATTACTTGTAGTTCCTAATCCAAGAATTCCACAACCCTAAAAAAGATGATCGGCCTCATTTTTTTCTCTTGTAGTACAATGAGTTTATCTAGCCATCTCTCTCCACATAGTGATGGTGTACTTATTCTTCCCTTTCCCTGCTTGCTTACAGAAACCTATTTGCCTGTGTTGTTCTCCGGAATTTCAGCTTCGATATAAATGTCTGACAAAATCATTGGGGATTTCTCTGTTTTCCTCTTGGAGATTGACTGTTGCAATTCAAAATCTTTTTTTATCTTTTGATGGCTCCAAAAACATTATCTTTAAAGCCTGCATATTTTTATATAGTACAGGTAGTCCTTGACTTACAACAGTTTGTTAGTGACCGTTTGAAGTTACAGTGGCACTGAAAAAGTGACTTACGGCTGTTTTTCACATTTATGACCGTTGCAGCATCCCCATGATCAAATTCAGACATTTGGCAATGGACTCAGGGTCCCCTGATGCCCTTTTACGACCTTCTGACAAGCAAAGTCAACGGAGAAGCCAGATTCACTTAATAACCGTGTTACTAACTTAACAACTTCCGTGATTCACTTAACAATTGTGGCAAAAGTCGTAAAACAGGGCAACATTCACTTAACAACTGTCTTGCTTAATCATAGAAATTTTGGGCTCAATTATGGTCATATGTCGGGGACTACCTGTAGTTGTTCAGTTGTGATACTATCTAGAAACCAGATAAGCTGGGATATTGTTTTTATGTTAAAGATTCTGTCTTTCTATAAATTTGGCATTGTCACCTCTGATTCCTCCCAGTTTTAGAGCTAATGCACTTCAGTTTGGGGCATATTCCTTGATTCAGCACATTCTGCAGGACAAAGTGTTTTCAATATAGAAGTCAGGATATGAATTTCATGGGGGACCATATCAAAATTTGCAGAATATTCCACAGCTGTTATGGCTACAGCCTTATTGATAGAATATGCTCTTCTGTAGATACGACAGTTGCATCAGGGCTTTCCAGCTCTTTTTATTCTCAAGCAAATTACCTATTCCAGCTCCAGTTCAAACTTGCCTCCAGTGCTAGATTTATTCCAAGATTCTGTCACACTATTCCACAATGGATGTGTCTTTGCCAAATTGGGGGGTTCAGAGTAATGGTCTGGTTATCAGTAGCAAATGGTCCCAGTTGAAGATCCCCTTAGTGTAATGGAGCTTCTGGCGATATGGAAAGCTCTCAAAACCTTTTAGGGTCCTGACTTGGTAGTACTTAGCCACTGACAGTACAGATTGAACTTGACTCCAACTATCGTTTATTGACTGTTCAAAGGTAGAACAGCACTGGAAAAAAGTGACTTAAATCAGGCCTCACAAACCATTGCATCACCCCCAGGATTATGTGATCAAAATTCAGGTGCTTGGCAACTAGCATGTATTTATGACGGTTGCAGTGTCTGGGGTCAGGTAATAGGCATACGTGAGCTTCCCAGCCAGCTTCCAACAAGCAAAGTCAGTGGGGGAAAGCTGAATTTGCTTAACAACTACATAATTCAAAGTGATTTGCTTAACAGCCGTAACAAAAAAGGTCCTAAAATTGCTGTGACTTAACAGTTAATCTTGTTTAGCAATGGAAATTCTGGTTCCAATTGTGGTCGTAGGTTGAGGACTATCTGTAGCATTCTTTTATCTGAAATCTCGTAAGAGGAATTTTTTTGTTTTTTGGCATATTCTTGGCATTCACCCTGTATTGATATTTTAGCTTGATAAGGCACTGACCTGGAAAATTCCACATTTTTTTTGGCACTGATCTACCCCAAAGACTTACCAGTTTCATTGAACTGAATGTATAGCAAGTGATTTAATTATTGTGTCTATTATATCAGAGTTCCCCGTTTCCGGCTTGGTGGGCCGGTGTGCGGGGGGAGGGGATGGTTTGCGCAAGTAGCTGGCAAGCATCCTCATGTGCACACAGCTCCATTTGTGTGAGCGTCCTGCACACACACCTGCCGCTCACACAAATGGAGCGTGTACACACATACTCACCCACTGCTTGCACAAGTCAGGATGTACGCGGGCCCTCACCAGCCATTTCCATGGCCCAGTTACACACCCCTCATGCCCCTGCACTATATAATCTTCCACTGTCAGCACATTGTCAACACACTGCCATGCTAGCTGGTCCCTCACGTATTGCAGCTCTCCTAGGTATCTCATGCTTTGGACTGCTTTGGCAGCTTTTACACAGGTAGTCCTCGAATTACAACTGGTCACTTAGCAACCGCTTGAAGTTATGACAGCCCTCCCCCAAAGTTACTATGACTCACTTCTGAAATTACATCTCCTACAGCATCTCTGTGGCTGTGTGCCTTTACGGTGCTGCGGCATGCTCCCCATTTCCTTCTCCATCCTGCCCTGCTGGGTCCCCATACACACTGGGCCTGCCTTGCCACCCCACTGGGTTCGGCACGCTCCAGCCTAGCTCCTGTCACTGATTGCTGACTTACCTTTTAAAGAACTCCAGAGCTCAGGTAGTCTGGGTGGAGAAGAAGAACAGGCCACTTTGTTGCTGGGCAATACAGCACAATCGCACAAGTGGCTGTCTTTTTCTGAATGAAAAGTAATGCTGACACAGCTAATGCTGGCAGACCTAAGGCTATTATTAGTGAGAAAAAAGAAAACCCAAAGCTTTGCCAGTGTTATTTTTTAGGGGGATGAGTAGAAAACCCAAGCAACTTTGGGGACCCCCAAGGGGCAGGAAGTGGAGCATGGGGTATCTTGGGGTGTGAGGAGGCCCCAGGCAGATAGACTTGTACCTGTGCTAAGCCCCACAGTGTCTCCCCCACCCGAGGCACTCCATACTCCACTTAATGAACTGCATGATTTTTTTAACAAATGCATTGAGGAGAGCAGGAATGGGAGGACATTAAGTGAGGAGACTCACTTATGGCCCACCTGACTTTGACTGTAATGGGCAGGCTCCATTACTGTTGTAACTTAAAGGCTACCTGTAAAGCCTTATTTTGAATGATGCATTTGGAAGGCTAGAGATGTCTTCACTGGCAGTATCTACCCTCTGAAAGTAAAGGTTGTTATTGTGATTGCGTAGCTGCAGTTCTTTGAATAATGACCTTGTTTTGTGCATTCATGTGACCCACTTTCTATCCTGTGTGGGCAGTCACCCTACTATAGCTGTTTGTGCTGGCCAGAAGGTACTGAGGTAAAATGATGGGAAGAGCATTCACATAACAGAGGGGACTGTCTAGGACGGGTAGGCAACCTTGGCTGTGGCTCAGGAATTCTGGGAGTTGAAGTCCATGAGTCATAAAAGAGCCAAGGTTGCCTACGCTTGGTCTAGGACACCAAAATCGTCTTAGCTCCAGAATGTTCTGAACTAGATTGTATAAGCACATGACCAACCTAGCACGCGAATGCATTGATCACCTCTCAGAAAACCAAAATAACTGGCCAGCAATGTGTTTGTTTAAATATCTTGTTGCAGAATTTAGAGCTTTGGCCGTGGAAGTAAAAGGGTGGGAGAGAGGAACCTTGAAATAGCTGATCAGGGCAGCCATCTCTTCAGGTGGCTCAGTTGCACTCCTTTCCTCCACAAAACCAAACACAACCCTCCCAATATTGACATTTTTTTAATCCCATTCACCCCCAGTATCTTATGCAAAGACAGTGAAATTACATGTCAGGTAGTCCTCGACTTACAGTGGTTCATTTAGTGATCATTCCAAGTTACAACGCCACCGAAAAAAAGTGACTTATGACCATTTTTCACACTTATGACCATTGCAGCATCCCCATAGTCCAGTAATCAAAATTCGGAGGCTCGGCAACTGACTCACATTTATGACGGCTGCAGCGTCCCAGAGTCACATGATCCCCTTTTGCGATCTTCTCACAAACAAAGTCATCAGCGAAGCCAGATTCACTTAACCATGTTACTAATTTAATGGGGATTCACTTAGCATCTGTGGCAAGAAAAGTCGTAAAATGGGGCAAAACTCACTTAACAAACGTCTACCTTAGCAACATACATTTTGGGCTCAATTGTGGTCGGGAGTTGAGGACTACCTGTAGATTGCAGCTTTCATTCATCGGTTCGTATTGGAAAAACACCAACATTTTGGGAGTTTCATTTTTCTCATAAGATTTCAGCCTTTTTAAATTTGTATTTATTTTGGGGAGTCTGCCAATACTGTCTAGGAGTGTGGCAGGCCATGAATCCTTGGCTCACCTCTAAAGAATCTGTGTCCACTCCCTTAACATTGCTTTTCTTCTGTTCTTCCTCTTTTTCTTCCAACCCAGGCATTACTTCAAACGAGTTATAGTGGCTGCCCGATCCAAGAATGCCCATCTGGTGCTGAAATGCTTTAAGGACATCCCTCTGGAAGGTCTGGAGCAGCTGCTGCCCTTGGTCAAAGTCCGCACCTCCATCTTCCACAGAGCTCTGCTCAACACCATGCTGGTTGTGAGTGGCTTGGCCCTCTTTGTAAATGTGGGCATGGTGGTGCTCTCTGACCTCAAGATAGGCACCACCACCCTACTCTTCTTCTTTGCTGCCTTGATGGCCTTCCGGGCTTGGAAGGTAGGTCCATCTCCAGTATTTCCAGAAACTCAGAGCTGTGAGCCAATAAATATCCTGCTCAGACCTTCAAATTAATTAAACACAGCAATATAATGTTTTAATAACTTTCCCCTTTCGGTAACGCAAACGGTTACAATTCATAGGCAATTCATGAAGGAGCTCTTGGGGGCCCTGGACTAGGGAGATGGAGAGACATGATTATCTTTGTAGGAGCAAGCTTAATTTAATTGAGGTTCTTTTAGGGCAGGAAGCAGGCTTGGCCTCTATCCCATACAGCTGTCAAGAGCTTTATGGCAGAACACATGTCTTCTGCTCAGAGAAATCTCATGTGGTATGGCTGGAAAAAAAAAAAAGCTCTTTTTCAGTACTTGGAGAGCTGCTGTCAGAGAGACAGCTCTGAGAGAGGAGGTCTTTAACTTCCTGTAGAAGGAAGATTTATGTCTTCCTACAGACATTTTGGCTTTCTTTGAATAAATGTATCCGGGAAGGGAGTCCAGACCTTGGTATCAAGGTTTGCTTGGGACGAAAATGTATAGCTGCAAAATACTTTTGATGCAGAGGTAGGCAACTGTTTGAGGGCTTAAGCTGCACTTAACTTTTGGGGTTGAGAAAAGTTGCATTGTGATAAATGCAAAGGAGACAGTGTCATGTCTTGCTTAGGACTGGGATTTCCCTGTTTGTTTTTGTTTGTTTGTCTTTACAGGACTTCCTCGCAAGAAGCAGCAGGCTGAGGTTTCTCTATGTCTTAAATTGGTTAGGGTTTGTAATAATTTCTGTGGTTCCTGCTTCACTGGCAGGAAATGATTTCTCCATTCTTGTCCCTTAACTTCAGCAGTAAAGAGAGGCTGCTCAAAGGGAATGCACATTGGCCATCGGGACCCAAGTGTAAGGCACTTCCATATTGGAAATGTTGATAAACATTTTAGCATATCATAAGTATGTGGTTTCCTTCCCAATATGTTACAGAGAGGTGTCTATTCTCTCTGGTGTGCTTCCTCCAAGAGGCCAGGATCTCAGCTTGCATTTTGTTGTGTCTCTCACGTGTTTGATCTTCCCTTTCCCCACACTCCTAAGGAGCCAAATACTGTACAGAGAGTCCTCGAATTATGACCACAATCGCGCCCCAGATCTTTGTTGCTAAGTGAAACATTTGTTAAGTTGAATTTGCCCCATTTTACCATATTTCCTGCCAGGCTTGTTAACTGAATCGCTGCAGGTGTTAAATTAGTAACACAGTTGTTGAGTGAATCTGGCCTCTCCTTGGACTTTGCTGGTCAGATGGTTGCAAAAGCTGATCACATGACCTCCCAGACCCGGCAACTGTCATAAACATGAGTCAGTTGCCAAGCATTTGAATTTTGATCATGTGACCGTGGAGATGCTGTAACAGTTATAAGTGCGAAAAATGGTGTAGCTCACTTTTTTTCAGTGCCATTGCAACTTTGAACAGCCACTGAACAAACTGTTGTAAGTCGAGGAATACCTGTATTCTGCATTGTTTTCTTAGGTCTTTGGCCAGCGGAGGAACATCCACTCTCTCGAACTGGTGCATATGTTGTACTACCGCAGCACCTCCAATAACTCAGAGCTTTTGGATGCCCTCACCCTGCGTGCCCAGGAGGAGCACGCCAAGGAAGTCATCTTGGCACACAGTTTCCTCCTGCGCTGCCACCAGCAACAACAGCAGCCCTTGTCAAAGGAGGCAGGTGTTGAGAGAGGTACGGGCTGGGATAGGGATGCCAGAAAGCAAAGGGGGGGGGGCTTTCTCTGAGAATCAGTTTCAGCTCCCGTGAGGTCTCTGACTCCTCTCTTTGCGTTTGCAGACTCCAATCCTGTTGAACATCTGAGGAAACAGGTTGAGGCTTGGTTGCGCCTGCGCTCTGGGCTGGAAATTAACTTCTGTGCCGAACGTGCCTGGAAGCATCTCAAGGAATTGGAAGTCAAGGGAGCAGCCCATCCTGTCATTGGATAAGAGCTTCCTCGGATTGTTTTAATTGGTATTTGGGGCTCTAAATCAGCCTTGTCCCTGTGGTATTGAGCATGCCAGGTTTTGAAGGCGAGAGGATGTGAACCTTATTTTTCCAAAGCATTAAGAGAACAGTGCCCTGTGGTGTAGTTACTTGTACCACATGGATCCTTAGAAGCTATTGGATTTCAGCTCCTGAGATGTGCTTCCTTTAACAGTTCTTCTTCCAGATATCCTGTTGGAAATGTGCTGTAATGTTAACCTTTGCATACTACGAAAATACTATTTGGGGTACAACATTAGGCCTCATTATACAAAGCCATAATGCACCTCAGATTCTCTTCTTTGCAGAGAGGAATTTTCTTGCTTTTAAAATATCAGCACTTTTTATTAGACACACTGCTTTCTCCCCCCCCCTTCCTTTGAGCTGTTTATTTTTCTTTCTCCAAGGAATGAGTGGAAGCAGTTTACATTTGAAATGAGCACTGTGCAAAGCAGTGAATCTCTTTTGCATTTAGGGCAAGATGGGTTTTTAATATCATGTGCTAGCCTGCTGGGGGCATTTCTGAAAAATATATTAAACCCCTTCTATAGCACTTTGAATTGCACAGTATACGCTTAATGGCAAGCTTGAAAGCCATATTGCATGCTAGGTTTCCTTGCTTTATTATAGGTGGCACAGGATGATTTCCATCCTGTGTGGTCCTGAACAAAATAGCAAGTTCAGGCTGTGTATGGAGGGAGAAAATGCAATAGGTAAGTTCTGAGTTACTGGAAGAACAGAACCCTATTCCCCTTGGTCCAGTAATTGTTTACACTAAAACACACACATTTGCTTCTCAAATTTGAAGTCTGGGAATTTGCACATAGCTAAAGGGGGCAGTGGATGCACTGCTGGAAGACAAGGTCATAAAAAGATTGTCATGGGGAAAACCTTTGTGGTCACTAAGAATTGATGGCTTATTATCGTATCAAAAGAATTATTGGGTGCATGAATTGGGGCGTTTTCACTGCATGTGAATCTGTTCTTATTCTACCCTTAGGGTGACTCCCTGCATATCTGACTTTTGTCTATATGGATTGGTAGTTGATGTATGTTCAATGCTTGTGCCCATGTACTTTATTCTAAAGAGTGTTCTTGGAACAGGTGCAGCCTTGTGCACCTCTAGCTGGAAGACATGAAGCCCTTCCCAGTTCTCTTTCCCATCACCCTTTGTCTCGAGAGAGCATCTGTATTCTTTGGGGAATTGCCACAGAGAAGGATATATCAGATTTGTATTCTGTCCACACAAGTGAGATTATGACAGGAGCAGCAGGAGCAGCAATCTAAATTTTTCTTAGTTTCTTTTGAAAGGTCATAGACCTTTTTTTTTTTTTGTCTCAAGGTGAGTGAGGAAAATGTACTCATCTGGTCTCAAGAGATCCAAAAGTAAATACATTGTAGTATAATGATTCAGTTGAGAACATTTCCACACTGTTCATTTGGGATCCTGCAAGGAGACCAGTGCTGTTATCTAGTAACCTTCTTTCAAGATGCTGACCGAAGTGATTCCAGGGTGATTGCCTAATCTGGATGGAGGTAGGAGATGAGCTTCAGAACAGATAGCTTTGGTTTGGCTTAAAGCCTTGAGCTTATTTTGCTAATCACAAAGTCACATTATCCGCTTCCACCAAATGGGAATGAAGTTGTAGTTTGTGGGATATACAGAAAGGTCTCTTTCTTACGTGCAATAAACTTTTTTGTGCATCTCTGCATTTTCCTCTCTTTGGTATGTCTGGTTATGTATGATTTGCTGAACCCGTAGGAGCTTTTTCAAAAGGCAACTGGACTTTGTTTTTCCATGAAGACATTTCACTTCTCAACCAAAAAGCTTCTTCAGTTCTGGTTTGTTGAAGTCTCAGCACTTGGAATTTTGGGAACATGTTGCAGTTACAACTTTTTTTGCCACCATTGTTAAGTAAATCCCTGTAGTTGCTAAGCGAACCATGTAATCGTTAAGCAAATCTGGCTTTTCCCATTGGCTTTGCTTGCGAGAAGCTGGCTGATGGAAAATGGCGATTATGTGACCCCAGGACATTGCAACCATTGTAAATGCATGCTGGTTGCCAACCACCCAAATTTTGATCACATGGCCGTGGGGATGCTGGGATGGTCATAAGTGTGAGGCCTAGTCATAAGTCACTTTTATCAGCGCCATTTTAACTTTGATCAATCACTAAATGAATGGTTGTAAGTCACGGACTAACTACCAGTTGTAGGTGCGCTTCCAAATGACATATACCAGGGGTGTCAAACTGCAGACCCACAGGCTGGATGCATCATAGCGAAACTGCGCCCACTCCATTGCCAGCAATGGCAAAAAAGTTGCGATACGTCGCGATGTTGTGAATTTGATACCCCTGGCATATACAGTCCATCTTCCCTTCAGCTCTTAAGAGAAGAAAAACAAATGTACTTTTGTATAAATATTTCTCTGAAAGTTCAAAGGAAGGCACATCATTTAGAAGCATTTCTAGTTACCGCTGAGGATCAGGACCTGAAGGGCTTATAAAACTAATGGATTGTATGTTGTCGTCTAAGGCATGATGGTGAATTCAATTCTCGGTGGAGGGTTTAAAAATCAGAATAACATCTGACTACCCATATCTAAAGACTCTCAATAAAGATGAAACTGATCACGTGTCTCGTGGTCGGTATAAGTGTCATAGTCAGGGGCAGTTTCTTTTTGATTTGAGTTGGCAGATACTCAGCCCCCAATAATATCCTTATTAGATATTATATTAGAATTTGACATCTGGGCAAAACAACGGTTGATTTCAAAGCAATAACAACTCTGCCTTTTCCTCAACAAAGGCAGTCCTTGCTTAATGGCCATCTCGTTTAGCAGCTGTTTGCGGTTACAGCGATGTTGAAAATGTTTCTACACCCTGCTTAACATTTGCTCATTAGATGTTATTTTTTTAAAAGAGAGAGATTAATCAACTTGTGTAGGTGTAATAAAGGGACGGATTGAGATGAGCTGCTTCCAGTCTCCTAAAACGTGTACATCTTACATTGCACTTTGATGCCACAGGTGAAATTGGTTTCTTCCAACATTCATAGGAACACACACATCCCAAATATGCTAAACCACAATTTATTTTTAATAGTTTGTCAATTCCTACTTTTACTTCTCACAGAATCTTTCAATTTCTAGTCTTCTGTCTACTTGGCTCTCATTATTTCCTCCACTATTACACATCAATCTTCGCCTGACCTTTTTTTATTAAATTATTCTCTCCCAAGCCAGTAGAATGAGAAAAATCTAAAATAACCCTTTGGATATATAGTACATGTATATGAATATATTGCTCTTTGTGAAAAGGTAAACAGGGATATTCCTGGTTAGCACTTGGATGGGAGACCACAAGTAGATTCCCGAACTATAGACTGGATAGTTGAAAAAAGTTGAGGTGGTAGTAGCAAAACTAGCCATACTGTTGTCAAGAAATTATAACGTCAAATAGTACAACTTGAGGGAAACTGCAAGGATTAACTGCTATCAGATCTACCCCTAGATCAAAACCGCTGCAACTTAAATCTTGTGATAAGACACACTATCCCAGCTTTCTTTATGGTAGATATAAAATGGAGGCAACTTGGTTACGTTGGTGAGGTGATCTTTTTATCTGAACATCTTTCCCAAATTATTAATAATGGTTAACATATTTTTGCATTGAATAGATTGGGATGGAAAATTCTACGGAATAAACAATAATTGCATTATATTACTGCCTGCTTGTTTCAAACAATGTTTTCCAAACACAGCAATTTTTAAGGTGTGGACTTCAACTCCCAGAATTTCCCAGCTAGCATGAGAATTCTAGGATTGGAGGTCCAAACATCTTAAAGTTGCTAAGTTTGAAAAAACGGTGGCTTAAAAAATTCAGCAATTGCACTGAACGCTACAAGCATACTTTCCAGTGGTGGGATTCAGCCGGTTCGCACCACTTTGGCAGAACTGGTAGCTAATTTTTTGTTGCCCAGGCCCAGAATGGACTTCCAGAAGCGGCAACCACACAGAGAACCGGTTGTTCACATATTTGAATCCCACCAGCAATCATTTATCCTCTGCAGAAACGTCCAGCCTAGTAACTCCTCTTTAGTGCAATTTTTTTTGTAAGTCTGAGCTCTATTAGTCCTCTGTGTTCCTACGAAAAGGCAGCTCCTATTTATGCTTGGCAGTGGATAGAATCTTCAGATCTCAACAAGATTAAATATTTATTCATTTCCAGGCACAGATCTGTGCTTTGCCAGATGGCAAATTAGCACCCTCCATAGACTTGAAGCTGCACTTTTGCCTAATATGGATGGGAGTAATTACTTTGTCTCAGAGGCATACAGTCCAGTAGTTACACTGAACAGGCAGGCCAAAAGCAACCTGTCCCCATTTTATACCCCACACAGGCAAAATAAACGAGCCGAGAACCAGCTGGTCCACCGCTTAGTTCTTATCTGTGAAAATAATGATTGTGGCGAAGCTTGTAAGCAGTTTAATGTTCAAATCCCACGACACAGGTGGTCCTCGACTTACGACTACAATGCCCTAAATTTATGTTGCTAAGTGAGACAGTCGTTAAATGAATTTTGTCCCATTTTATGACCTTTTATCACAGTTGTTAAGTGAATCACTGCAGTTGTTAGTAATATGATTGTTAGGTGTATCTGACTCCCTTTTGACTGCTTGTTAGAAGGTCACAAAAAGTGATCACACAACCCCGGGACACTGCAACCGTCATAAATATATGTCAGTTGCCAAACATCTGAATTTTGATCATGTGACCATGAGAACGCCACAACTGTCGTTAAGTGTTGAAAACAGTGATAAGTCGCTTTTTTTCAAGGCAGTTGTAACTTTGAAGGGTCTCTAAATGAACTGTTGTAAGTTGAGGACCTCTTGTAAATAAAAAGTAGTTTGCCCAATTAGACTGCAAGGTAGTGAATGAACAACAGCAATTTGGATTGTGGCTAACCTCGATACTAGCTGTGTGGATTATATTTAAGTTGCAATTTGCTACATGTAATCCTCGCTTACCGACTGCCTCATGCAGTGTCAAAGCTACAATTATTTTTTAAAAAAAGCAGCTGACACAAATTCTGTTGCACAACCATCAGAGCATCCCAATCATACAATCACCCATTTGGGCACTTTGCAACCAGGGCACACTTATGGCCCCCACCGCATCCTGCAGTCACATGACTGCTATTCACATGCTTCACAACTGGCTTCTGACAAGCAAAGTAATGGAGGACACAGAAGTTGCAGTCATGTGACACCCCTTGTCATTCACTTAACAACCAAATAGAAGCAAGCCTGTTGCAGTCGCATGATCTTCAACTTAGTGACCATATCATTTAGCGACAGAGTTGATGGTTGCTTCGTGTTTACTAAACAAATTACCCAAATCATAATCTTTCATGGTCTCCTTTCTAACTACGAGCTTCCCCTGTGAAAACTAAGAGAATAGCAATAGCACTTAGACTTATATACCACTTCATAGTGCTTTACAACCCTCTCTAACAGGATTACAGAGTCAATCTATTGCCCCCAACAGTCCTCATTTTACTGACCATGGAAGGATGGAAGGCTGAGTCAACCTTGAGCCAGATAGGATCGAACTCCTGGCAGTCAGCAGAGTCAGCCTGCAATACTATATCCTAACCACTGCACCACCACCACAGCTATGGAATTAGGAGTAAAAAGCATTTGCCATACCAAACAAGGAAGATACAGCTCTGTCAGCTCTTTTCATTGCTTTTTAATTTCTAAAATAAGTATAAAATATAAAAGCCATTGGAAGAAGACAAAAAGGGACATTGGTAGAACCATCAATTATGGCACTAGCAATCAAGTTGAAGGAAAAGCAAACCTGTTGAAGAAAGATGGTACACAAGTATAATTTTGTGAACATTCCTTAAACTGCAGATTTTTGGATATTCAGCCTACAATCCCTGTAATTCTCAGCCAGGAGGTTGAGAATATAGGGAGAAACATTTGGAAAAAGCTAGAAAAAAACAAAAACCTGATGTATTTTAATGTGAGTGAGAACAAATACTGTTGCCAATGTATATCCACCGAATAGATTGTTACAATTGGTTGTAACTCATTGAATAAAGTTACTGAAAGTTATAGGTAGTCCTTGTTTAGCGACCACCTCATTTAGTGTCTATTCGCAGTTGTTATGGTGATGAAAAAATAACTTTGCAGTCAATTCTCTATGTTTATGGCCTTTACAGATTTGTAAAGCAAAGGGAAGCTGAAGTAAGATCACAAGCAGTCGTGTTTTCATTTAGTGACTGTTTTGCTTAATTACTGAGTTGCCAGTCCCAGCTTTGGTTGCTAAATGAGGACTACCTGTACTATTTTAAGAAATAGTAACAAAGATCTTAGATACAAAATAAAGAATATCCCATTGAACAAATCCTTTATTTATCCCACAAATCTATTGTGGGATAAGTAATTATTTTCCCTATTGACTTTTTCCTAAGTAGAATATTCTGAAAGGGAAGCATTCCAAAGATTGGATGAAGCTAATCTGTGGGAATGGAGGTTTTTTTTTTTTTTAAAGTAGAAATGGCTGTACAATAGCAAGTACATAATTGAAGCTCACTAATTTTGTATCAGTGCTGTATACAAAAAGGATCAATTGCAGTCATGGCTGCCATCTTGATTTTTTTGACCTCCCTCACAAATGCTCCTACATATACAATAATAAGAGAACACTTTTTAAAAGATTATTCAAAACTTTTCTGAACATGCAATAAGCAGAGACTCCTGTGGCTTGTTCTTCAAACTTTAAAGTGATTTTTCCAACTGCAATTTAATAGGAATTTTATCCACACAGTATTTTATCTCCCAAGAGGCAAATGTGAAAAGACAGAAGTATCTGCAATAAAACCAACAAATTATAAAACAGATTCTTATTTAACCACCATTTTAAAATGAGTTTAAAAAACAAACACGAGAATCCTTTTACATTGTATTTCAATTTGCCTTCCATTTGCGGAAACTTAAAAAAGAAATATATTTTATATCTGCACTACCAATGCATCTTCATGTTTTTCCCATTAAAATATGTATTTCAAATAAAAATTGATTTTATAAAAAAAGTTGGAGGGGTTGACTGCCATACTGCAGGTTATCAAAAAGGGAGATTATTATTATTATTTAAAAAAAAAACACTACAGGAGGAATATATTGTTCCCTCATTTGCAAAAGTAAAAGGGGACTATAATCTACATGTACATAATTACAAAAAAGAAGAAGCAAACCTTTCTCCAGATATTAGGAGAATAGGCTGATAGGATGGCATGTCATATCATTTTGCCAGCAAAATATTCATGTATTTCATGGTAACCTCTCAGAGACTAAAGCAATGCCCAGTGTATGATGGCACACCTTTAACTTCCCATATCATGGGAGGTATATAAAAATACAGGTAGTCCTTGACTTACAACCATTTGTTTACTGATCATTTGAAGTTACAAAAGCACTGAAAAAAAAGTTACTTATGACCGTTTTTCATACTTAAGGGCCCCGTGGTCACCTGATCAAAATTTGGGTGCTTCGCAATTAGCATGTATTTATGACAGTTGCACTATCCCAGGATCATCTGATCATCATTTGTATCTTTCCCATCTGGCTTCTGGCAAACAAGGTCAATGGGGAAGCTGGATTCCCTTAAGGACCACATGATTCATTTAATAACTGCAGTGATTCGCTTAGCAATTGTAGCAAAAAGATCATAAAATGGGGCCCCACTCACTTCAAAGCTGTCTTGCTGAGCAACGGATATGTTGGGTTCAATTGTGGTCATAAGTCGAGGACTACCCGTATGCAAAACGAAAATCAGGCACTTACAGTGCAAGAACTCCCACGGATCAAGTTACCCATTGCATAGAATTTTGTGCCACGAGTGCTTTCAAAAACTGCAAAGAATGAATGCATAGCTAAATTGAAAGCAGAACAAGTCTCCTTCCAAGATAAACGGAGAGGTTTCCCTATTGTCAGTCACTCTTTTTTCCGAAGGTGGATGTAGACAATCCCACTGATGAGGGCCAAGGGAAAAGACAGCCAGGCTAGTATGAAACAGTGACCGTAAGAGCCGCCAGGCATTCGGCCACGCTGGAACGTGTCCACATGGATAGTGTAGATCAAGGCAGCTGTGAACACCGAGACAGCTGGGAAGGAACCAAAATAGGTGGATTAGGATCAAGCTCCATCTTGCTTCCCCATCTTCAGCAAGCAACCTAAAGAATAATTACATTCTTCCCATCCATATAGACAATTCCTATATAGTGCAAAATCCCACCAGCCACCTATTCAGATCTGCAATAGGCATCCCAGGATCACTAGAGATAAGTGAGTAGAGTGGTGAGGAACTTATGGTGTTTGGGATGTTGTTGAACTACAACTTCTTATTGGTAATTCTGATTGGAATAGCTGGGATCAGTGTTTCTGAACTTTGGCAAATTTAAGACAGATGGACTTCAACTCCCAGAATTCCTCAGATAGCAATTCTGGCTTGGGAATTCTGGGAGTTGAAGTCCACCCATCTTAAAGTCACCCCTCTGAAGGCTATTTGAAGAGCCAAGCTTTCCTTCTGAGCTCCACTTCTTCACTGGGGCTTGCAAGGTCTTTATATTAAAAAGATAATTTGGGCAAAATGGAATATAACCAGATTCACAACCAGATTCATCCAGAGTTCCAACACAGTAGCTAAACACTTTGCAAATCGTTCCAATTAAGTTAGACCTTAACCTGCTGGGAAATTTTGGGAGTTGAAGTCCATACACCTTCAACTTGTTATGGTTGAGAAACACTGATCTATGCAATACCCCTTGCTGTTTACATCTTGCACATGGAAACCTACGCTCCCCTACAACTCAGTCCTAATCTTCCTTCCTCGTAGATGCTACCACCTCTCTCTTGCTCTATGATTTTGCAACATTCAAATGGGACCCTTACCAGTCAATATCTGGAAAATTCCTGTGGCATAAAACAGGCTTCCCCGCTTCATCGTGTAGAGTTGCCACATGAAAATAATGAAAGCCAAGCTGGAGAAGAGAAGGCTTAAAACCATGAACGCTTGGACTCCATGAAGCCATTCTGGGGAAAGAAACCATTGAAGAGAAAAGACCATTAAGAACAGATCTTACCAATCTGCCTTCTCCAGTAAATTTTCCAGCAGCCCAAATGGCTAAAGTGTTTCAGTCGTATTTACTGGGAAATTCTGGGAGCTGAACATCTTAAGGAGCACCCGGTTTGGGGAAGGCTCCATAAATGCGTCCATATCTTGACGCAGGATGGGGGCAAGCATGCAACCTTCTTTCCACCCTCTAGCCAAGTTTGACCTTTCCCTGAAGATTGTAGAAGTTGACCAGGCTGAGCCCGAGAGAGGGTTCAAACGCGTCTTAAGTCACGAGTTCTTGCGCACCCACAAGAGATCTAAATCCAGCCCGCCTTGAATATCTTCTTAATTCCCGCTCATTTCCTTTAACCGTTAGTAGCTCAAATTCTTGCAGAGAGCTTAAGCTTGTAACAAATCTTTATACTCATTTGAACTGCCTGAATCTCCTGGTTTCCCTAGCCTAGCGCTTGACATAGATGGTCCTGGGCCATTTCCACAAAACACACAGTGTATACTCACTACTATCAGACACTGGATGACATGTCCAGTTCTGGCGCTGGTTTTCTATCAAACATTCATACCAGATGTTCACTGTTTCTCTATCAGGCAGAACCCACCATGACTAGAACAAAAAAAAAAAAAGCAAAGAAAAGGAGTTAGGGAAGAAAAGATGATGCCGAAGAGGATCACCTTTCCAAATAGGTGAATGAAGGTTAATAAACTGGCTCCAACCCATAACTAGTTGCGGAGTTCAAATAAAATCTTGTTTCCACCATGCCCTTTGAAACACCAGTAATTTTACAGTAGACAAGTCTTTATTGAGCAGAGGGTTGAGTGTGCTACTTCAAAAACAATAGCCAACAACAGTTGTAACAACTGCAGCTTGGCAAGATGGATGGATGGATGGATAGATAGATGGATGTAGATTAGATTAGAATAGAATAGAATAGAATAGAATAGAATAGAATAGAATAGAATAGAATAGAATAGAATAGAATAGAATAGAATAGAATAGAATAGAAGCTGGAAGGGATCTTGGAGGTCTTCTAGTCCAACTCCCTACTCAAGCAGACAAATAGTTGTCCTCTTCTTAAATACCTCCACTGATGGGGCACCCACAACTTCTGAAGCCTGGTTTATTGTTTTCACTGTTGGGAAATTTTTCCTTAACTCCAGGTTGCTTCTATAGATAGATAGGCAGAATGGGATGCTGTGGATATAATTTACTTGGACTTCAGTAAGGCATTTGATAAAGTAGATCACAACCTACTACTTGACAAGGCAGAAAAATGCAGGTTAGACAGCATCACCACCAGATGGATCCGTAGCTGGCTGACCGGCCGTACTCAGCATGTGGTCCTCAATGGAACCACATCTACATGGAGGGAAGTGTGTAGTGGGGTGCCCCAGGGCTCTGTTCTGGGCCCAGTGCTCTTCAACATCTTCATCAACAATTTAGAGGATGGGATAGATGGGGAACTCATCAAATTTGCAGATGACACGAAGCTGGCAGGAATAGCCAACACTCCAGAAGACAGGCTTAGGATACAGGAGAATCTGGACAGACTTGAACACTGAGCGCTATCTAACAAAATGAAATTCAATGGTGAAAAAAGTAAGGTTCTACATTTAGGCAAGAAAAACCAAATGTACAAGTAGAGTATAGGGGGTACCTTGCTCAATAGTAGTAACTGTGAGAGGGACCTTGGAGTCCTAGTGGACAATCACTTAAATATGAGCCAGCAGTGTGCTGCAGCTGCCAAAAAGGCCAACACAGTGCTGGGCTGCATTAACAGAGGGATAGAATCAAGATCACATGAAGTATTAATACCACATTACAATGTCTTGGTAAGACCACCCTTGGAATACTGCATCCAGTTTTGGTCACCACGATGTAAAAAAGATGTTGAGACTCTAGAAAGAGTACAGAGAAGAGCAATAAAGATGATTAGGGGACAGGAGGTTAAAACATATAAAGAAAGGGTGATGGAATTGGGTATGTCTAGTTTAATGAAGAGAAGGGGCTGCCACACAGAAGGAGTCAAGCTATTTTCCAAGGCGCCTGAAGGCAGGACAAGAAGCAATGGATGGAAACTAATCAAGGAGAGAAGCAACCTAGAACTAAGGAGAAACTTCCTGACAGTTAGAACAATTAACCGGTGGAACAATCTGCCTCCAGAAGTGGTGAATGCTCCAACACTGGAAGTTTTTAAGAAGAGACTGGACAGCCATTTGTCTGAAATGGTATAGGGTTTCCTGCCTGAGCACGGGGTTGGACTCGATGACCTCTAAGGTCCCTTCCAACTTTATTATTATTATTATTATTATAATGAATGAATGAATGAATGAATCCTTGAAATTGAACCGCACATTATATAGGTAGTCCTTGAACTTATGACTGGTCTCTTAGCGACTAACCGAAAGTCAAATAGACCTACCTTGAGGCTACTTATGATCTGGATTCAAAATTCTGATGGTTGTCTTCTCACAGCTTTATGATCAAACCTCGGACACTCAGCAACACAGCTGCATTTACAGACATTTGCATTTTCCATGGTCACATGACTGCCTTTTACAACAGTTTTGCCCAAAATCAGCACTTCTGGTTTTATAGAAAATCGATTCACTTAACGACCATGGTGATTCACTTAATGACCACTGCAAAAAAGTTGTAAAATGGAGTCGGTCATGTGAAAGACCCATTTTATTACGGTCACGACTTACAACCATGATGGGCAAGCTTCATGACGGTCCTAATTGAGGAGTGCCTGTACTGTAATTGTAAAATTTGTTTCCCCCTCCTGTGGAATCAGAGAGGCAAAATTTACTTAAGGGAACAAGAAGCATTTGAAAACATTCTGACTTTCCAAAATATTTTTCCACAGCTTTTTCTCTTCAAGTTTTTCTTCTCTAATTAGTTTTATGTGCAGTCTGGTAACAACAGAGCCAAGCCCTGGAGGCTGCCACACATTCCTGAATCTCTCTCTCTCCCCCTATAAAGTCTCTGAATGTCTCTCTTCTCAATTCTTCTTTCCTGGTGTGGGACCATTCTGTCCCCCATTCCTTACTCTGTTCTTTCATTTCCTTCTCTTAGTGGACAGTGGAACGTCTGATTTTTTTTAAAGATGTCCTATACAGGTAATCCTTGACTTACAACTATTCCTTTAGTGACTGTTCGAAGTTACAATGGCATTGAAAAAACTGACTTATGACCACACAGCATCCCTTGTACAATAGGAGCACAAGAATATGAGAACACCTTCTTCTCCAGTCATCTTTTTGGTGAGACACAGGCAGAAATCCAACAGGTGACTCTTCTTCTTTTTCCCCATGGGCAGGAGGGAAAGGAAAACAACTACAGGAAGTCCTCGACTTACAAACATTTGTTTAGTGATCATTCGAAGTACTACAGTACTGAAAAAAGGGACTTAACGATCTTTTTTCACACTTACAACTGTTACAGTATTCCCATGGTCGCATGATCAAACTTTGAACACTTGGCAGTTGGCAAGTGTTTATGACGGTTGTAGTGTCCGGGGGTCGTGTGATCCCCTTTTGTGATCTTCTGACAAGCAAAGTCAATGGAGAAACCATAATCACTCAACAATTGTATTACTAACTTAACAACTGCAGTGATTCACTTAAAAACTGTTGCAAGAAAGAACATAAAATGGGACAAAACTCACTTAACAACTGTCTTGCTTAGCCATGGAAATTTTGGGCTCAATTGTGGTCGTAAGGCAAGGACTGCCTGTATTTAGGTCTCCTGAGAGTGTAATTAGTGGCAACCCTAATCTACGGTACTACTAAAAAGCCAAGTTTGGGAAACAGTTTCAGGGGGAGAAAACAAAAGGAGAAAACAAATTACTTTGATCTCAAGTGATATAACAGGGGACACAATGTAATGTATCCAGCAAATGTCACAAACACAAACTAATATTTTAAGGCAGGGTTTCTCAACCTTGTAATTTTAAGATGGGTGGATTCAACTCCCAGAATTCCCCAGCCAGCATTGGTGGCTAGGGAATTCTGGGAGTTGAAGTTCATCCACCTTCAAGTTGCCAAAGTTGAAAAACACTGTCTGGAGGAATTCAGCTGTGTGGGTAATTTTGGCTTATTTTGTTTTGTTGGAAAAGAACAGATTCCTCATTCAAGATAAACATATTAATGAGTTAAACAAGTCATATATGCAAATAATTCAAAATGGAAATAGGATTCATGGTTGTAACCCAGCCTTTTCCTGTGTTAACAGGCAAGCTTTTGTGATTTTTTAAATCAACAAACTACTAGTCCTGAAGGATTTGTCAGAGATTCCTGAAGCAAGGAAAGAGACACAGATTTGTCTGCTCAAGAGAGTTATCTGTCTCTTTCCCCAGCAAAGGTTCAAAATGCAGCCACTGACAATTCACCATTCAAAACAGATATACACAAACCCAAAAAAGCCATCTCAAATCAGAGGGGATTAATATCAATAATCTTCCCCATACTAGTTGTCAGACTAACAAAATATGAGGATAGAGACGTTTTCTTTGGGATCAGTATAAAGCAGAATAGAACGATCTTTTATTTAAAGAAATCTGTTTTAAACTTAAAGGAGGGGGAAAAAAGAAATATACTTCAAAAATAATGCTAAAAAAATTCAGCTCATAAAGGTTTTTCAGGCTGTATCATATTCCCAGTCAGAGTTGTTAGTTGGCATTTGTTTCCCAAATGCATTTTTGTTTACCATTTAAGAGGGCTCTCCTAAACATGGGCAAATAAAATGTGTAAATATATTCTTCTTTTGGGGAGAAACAAACACCAATTAGAAATGCAAGGAGCAAGAAGAATTTCAGGCAGGAATGTAATGTCATTGGGGATTCTTTGAAGTGTCTATGGCCTTCTCTTAGGCTCTGCTCTTGACATCTGAGGAGCAATTATCTTGAATAAAAAATCGTGGCTGGCTTTTTCAAGGGATTCTCTTCCGATCAATTTATTTGAATTCCTCACAGATGTTTAACGTGAATAAATCTTATTATTCTTAATAGAGAGATGAATAAATGTGTAGAAGCCAAGATCATCTGGGGCACATCTGAATATCCTTTAACTGTCCTTTAGCTTTAGCTCAAAGTCCTTGGCTAAGCAATCTTGAAGAAAACAACCAGATGACATAGCCATCCTTAGCTTTCAACCAAAGCAGATCAATTTCTTATTTTTCTGAACTGAAAACTGAAGTAGTGTTTTCCATCTTCTCTTGACACCAGGCCTCCTATCACATAACTGTGGTGGTTTGATGGTGACCAAGCTTATAATGCAAAAAGTGTGAAATCAAGCCAACTACCTCACTATGTCCTTCGTTTTTATCTGTTTTTTCAGCAACAGATAGTGAGGATGGGTAGAAGTTGTTCAGCATTTTTTCCTTAATTCCAACCCACATTACTGTATGTGTAAGACCTTCATCCTCGCAGCAAACATTTTATCTCCTGAATAAACAGGTGATGAGCATATACTAAAATATATAAGGAGGTTAGAATGGCTTGCTGATATAGGAGAAGAGGCAGAACCTGGGGGAAGGTGGAGTCAAGGAAACAATCATCCTGGAGTCCTTACGTTGTCATAAGTGTTCCAAATCCAGCCCCCCCCCCCACTGAACTCTGTTGACTTTTATCTAGCACCAATTTAGTGCTAATCATTAGTTGATTAGATTCTTGTAGGTAGGCATGAGCAATAAATCAGCTTAACTGCAACTTAACATATAGTCCTGATTCTTCATGCCTGATAGTTACATTTTTTTTCTTTCAAGTGAAATGCTGAGAAAAAATATTTATTATCCTTGATTAAAACCTGGTACCTCATCAAAGAGTCAGAGGAAATTGTCTCTAGAGTCAAGCTTACTAAATCATGAATCACCCCTTGTGAAGTCCAGATGGCTGGACAGTTCTGGGAATTGTAGCATAACAGTACTAGGCACAGAAGGGTAGGGAATGTAGAATAGCTAAGCAGCTCTCAAGCGAAACATTGAACCTGCAGATTAAACACTGGAATATTTCAGTTCTTTCTTACCTTGTCCAAGGTGGCTACAAAGAGTAAGATGAGGATAAGAACGTGGAGGGCTGTGACCGCAAAGAGAAGGAAACTCATCCTGGAAGCTGAATGGAGAGAAGAAAAACATAGATTAAGCTTACTCCTTCCTCGTGGCTGGTTAAAACAACTAGGAACTACTGTATTCCCAAGCAACATTAATCCCACTGTGTCTCCTCAAACTGATAAATTCTGCTCTCTCCAGATTCTGCTTTTCAGAAGCTTTCTCTGTATTATCCAGCTGTCTCCATATCACTTCTCAAGGATTCACAAAAAATCCAAAGGAAAAAAAAATGAAAAATTTTCTCCCGTTACTCAGACCTTAGCCAGTTTATTCCAAATTGTCTCGGGATGCTCAGATTTTGAAGTCCTTCCTTAAATGCAACGTATTTCCTCCTTCCTCCTGCTCTGCGTCAGAGAAAGCAGAATCTGGGCTCCTGCAGCTAGTTTAAATTCCTGTGGCTGTAAGCCTGGCTTAATGTGATCCAGATGTTTAAAAATTATGTGAGCTGTGGGCAAGAAGAGGGAGGTAGAAAGGGTTAACAATTGCCTAGATATGTTGCTGCCCTTTTCAGTCCCTTCAAGACTGCACACGTGCACACACTCACAAATGGTTTTTCCTCCAAATGGCAAAAAAGGGAATCAGTGTTCCTCTACCATGGCAACTTTAAGACATGTGGATTTCTGCTCTCAGAATTCAGAGAGCGGAAGTCCACAAGTCTCAGAATAATAGAATCACAGGGCTGGAAGGGACCTGCCTATGGCAGGAGATCTTGTATCATCTCAAACAAAGAGTTGTGCAAACTTTTCTTGAAAGCCTCCAGCGACGGAGAACCCACAACTCTTAAAATTGCTAAAGCTTAAAAACATTGTAGTAGGCAGTACAGAGCAGAGAAAGGAAATCTGGAGCTGAGTTTATAATTAATCAATAAATACGAACATTTTTCTCATCTGTTTCTTATTGCTAGGCGCTATTTTTTTCCAGTTTGTTTTAGTGCCAAAGTTCCCCTAACTATAAGGCTTTGCAGATGAGGCACATCATTCAGATTTGTGTTTTTCTTTCACACTGTCCAATTTATTACCAGGTAATAATGTACACATTGATCTGGCATTTAAAACAGATTTAATACAGTAATCCTCGACATACGGCCACAACTGAGCCCAAAATTTCTGTTGCTAAGTGAGACAGTTGTGAAGTGAGTTTTGCTCCATTTTACGATCTTTCTTGCCATTGTTATTAAGTGAATCAATGCAGTTGTTGTTAGTAAAATGGTTGTTAAATCAATCTGGCTTCCATATTGATTTTGCTTGTCAGAAGGTCAGAAAAGATGATCACATGACACACACACACACACCCCGGACACTGCAGCCATCATAAATATGAACCAGTTGCCAAGCATCCAAATTTTGATCATGTGACCATGGGGATGCTGCAATGATCATAAGTGTGAAAAATGGTCATAAGTCACTTTTTTCATTTCATTTAATTTTGGTCACTAAATGAATAGTTGTAAGTCAAGGACTATCTATAATTCATCACCTTCATCTTATGAAGAAAGATAGTTAATCGATTAATTCAATTGGTTTGGAGAGTCCAAGATGTCTTTCAGCTCATACTATTGAATGTGCTGGCCAGGGCTGTTGAAAATTATAGCTCAACCCCACCCGTAGCTTGGTCAATAATATGAGGCATTGGAATTTTTGACTTGACAATAGTTGGGATGTTACTCATTCCTGAAGTAACATCTAGCATAGATGACCAATTCTCTGAGCTTTAATCATATGATTTTGAGTTGGGAGGCATATATTATTATTACTTAAATAAAAAATGGAAGTGGCCTAAATCTTATAAAATCTCATCTGAGCAGTGGGAGACAACAATAGCACCATTGTCGTCCTCCTCTAGCAAGAAAACATTTTGGGGTCAAGTCTTACTAATGGCTTTCAAATTCCTGAGCTTTGAAAAAACATTTCATTTCATGTTTTGAACAGTTCTTAACCTTTTGTGGCTTGGGCCCTTTTTGGAGCCAGGTAAAACCTACAAGCCACTTCTCAGAAACATGTTTTTAAATGTATAAAATAAAATAGTGAAATTAGTTGTAAATGTTATCCCATCAAAGTCCACAGATACGACTTCTGGTTCCGGTTCACGGCGTCTCTAGTCGTACGAGGAGACTTCTCTCCTCGTCGGCTAGCTTTCCCTCCGCCGGCAGACCCTTATGTGGGTCCAAAGTCGCCCTGGAGGGTGCAACTTCTGTCGAGGAGGCTCTGTTCGGATGATGAGGAGCGGCGGCTCCCTCAGCTGTCCGAGCCATCTCTGAGGGCCGACGGAGAAGAAGATCGACCAGTAAAATGGCCAATCACCCTGCTGCTTCAAACCGCAAGTCAAAGAACATCTAAGCTGTAAGAACCCCCGTGGTGAATCCAGGTGAGACTTTTCTTTGTTATTCTATTTTATTTTGTTTTTGCTACCTGAAAGAGCCTTTTTGGAATTACTTCCCTGGCTTGAAAAGGCAGCTTCTACATTTTTTGGAGAAGAAAGGTGTTCTATAAAAATAGAACAAAATTTTAAAGATTATATTTACTTTTATATTTTTGGGGGTACAGAAAAAAAAAATTTTTTCTATTCTTTTCCTCTTTTTCTAAGAACTGTACTATCATCCTATGCTGGAAGATTATTTCTTTTTCACATTATACTTTAAAAGATAGAAAAAGGGAAATGGCGTTTGGAAAAGACCTTTTTTAACTTACTGAGGACATCTAGTGGCGAAAATTTAATACTGCAGCCTCTGGTTACTTGGTTTGAAGATAGCTGACCTTCAAAATACTTTTGAAGAGGAAAGATAAGCTGGGTAACTGTGGGAACTGTGGGGGTGGATATTGCCTAAATTATATTAAATATAGCCTCCACAAAAAAGAAAAAAGAGACTCTTTTTAATTACTATCAAAATGGAGAAACTTCAGTCACATTTAAACTGAACACTTATATTGGAAAAGATCTATGAGGCTACTGCAGAAATATGTGCTACAATGAAAAAGTTTACTACAGAACTAAGATCTAGGGATTTCACTTCAAATGTTCAAATGGTTGTCCAGGCTATATCTGACTATGGTATAAATCAAAATATATTAGAAAAGGAATCAACAGAGATAAAAGAGGAACTTATTCTATCTTACAAACCTTCCATCTGCAACTTTGAGGAACAGAAGAAGCAAAGACTGAGACTTCAAACTACAAAGCAATGACCCTTCAAGGAGGAGAGATACAGACTTCTAATGCAGAGGATGGGATTGCTATTATTGCAAAGGCTACTGCAAGCAACAAAGACAGATCTACTGGCTGAAAGGGAAGCATCCCTATGGAAACCTGCTTGGCACAGGAAAAAAGCCAGACTAAAAAGAGAAATTTAAAAATGTGTAATGGATTTAAAGGCAATTTTTGATTTATGGTTTGTTTTAAGGATTATGATTTAGAGTTAGAAGCAAGAAAAAATATAAACATATATATAAGGGTGATTTTTAGAAAATATATTTTAAATAGATTAAGAATACTTTTTGGAATAACAGATTTATTTTGATGAAAATTATGTATTGGAATTGAAAAAATGTTGATTTTTTTAGATTGGGATGGTTTTAATAATTAATGGAGTGTTTTAACTTAGATGATTTTTTGTACAATAACATAGATGTGATAAGGTATGACAATCAATTGGATGAAATTTGAAGTTTCTGTAATGAATTGAAGTGAATTAACATTATTTTTTAATTAAGATAGCTATTGTGTAATGGAAGAAGAAATAAATGAGATTGGTGATAAAAAGAGGGATGAGAGAAATTAAGAACTAGAATATATCTGGAAGGGATACCTGAATTGATAACTTGTTGAGTTAAAGTGAAATTTGATTTTAGTAATTGTAAACTGATAAAGTTTTAAAACAGGTTTAGTAGTAATAGAAATTTAATTTAGAAATGAAATATTTTAAACGTATTATGTTATTTAAGGGAAATAGAGAGGAGACAGTGAATGTATTGAGTTGAGTTGCTTATTTATGTTTTTACTTTGGAATGTCTGATTACCCAAACACCATGGTGTGTCCTGAGTACTTTTTCTTAAAAATTAAAAAACTAATAAAATATTTCCCCCCCCCCCCCAAAAAGTCCACAGACACACAGACATGTGAAATCTATGCACTCAACTCTATGGACTCCGGGTTAAGTATCCCTGTTTCAGAATAAAATAAGAGACCCAGTCTGGTAGGCTGAGAGAGCTAAGTCTTCTGTAGCTGAGAATTCTGGGAGCTGTAGTCCCAATATATCTGGGAGGGGGAGGTCAATTGGACAATATGAGTGTAAACAAGAGGATAATTACAGATATGTCAACTCAGAGTAGGGCTGCAGTTTAGTGGATCTCATTATCCACCATGTGATGGTCTTTTCATTCAGATCTGCTTCTTCATTAATGCGGCACTATGATGTTTGAAGGGGCATTTCCTTCATTTGTAATCTAAACAGAAATTCTCCATGGACTAAACTTCGATTGTTAAAATTCTCTTCTGCTTTCTGTTTCACATGGACATAACTGCCAAGTGACGTTTTTCAGAAGAAAAAGGCGTTCCCTTCCTTGAATAATTCCCCACCAACTAATTGGAGTTTCCTGACATAGGCAGTAAACAACCTTCTCCAGTCCAAGAGGTGATCAGAGGATAGCTAGGCTAGGAAGGCTGCGAAAGAGTTAACTGACTGCTAAATCAAAAGGCCCCCAGTTCTTGGAAAGTTTGGTTACTCTGCAAAGATGCTTAACACTGCATAATTATAAGGTAACATGCACAAAAATAAGTTCTGCAAACTTAGCAGCACTCCCTGCCCTGCAAAAACTAAGGGGAAACCTTGAATAGTGCAGCATAAGCTTAAAAGCAAGCACCGTTGTATCTAAAGAGATGTAAGTTTGCATAGAATGAACTATACAATATTCTGTACATTATTTATTCAGCAAAATATATAGCCAATGAGACTTTTTTCTGAGTATGTGTGCGTTGGACTCCAGATTTAAGTTAAAATTCTACGGGAGTCCTTGACTTACAACCATTCATTTAATGACAGTTAGAAGTTACAGATTTTATTTTTCTGGGCTCCAAGATCACCTCAGATGGGGACTGCAGCCAAGAAATTAAAAGACGCTTGCTCCTGGGGAGGAAAGCTATGGCAAATCTAGACAGCATACTAAAAAGCAGAGACATCACCCTGCCAACAAAAGTGCGTATAGTCCAGGCCATGGTTTTCCCAGTTGCAATGTATGGCTGTGAAAGTTGGACCATAAGAAAGGCTGAGCGCCAAAGAATTGAGGCCTTTGAACTATGGTGCTGGAGAAGACTCCTGCGAGTCCCTTGGACTGCAAGGCGTTCAAACCGGTCAGTCCTAGAAGAGATCAACCCCGACTGCTCTTTAGAAGGCCAGATCCTGAAGTTGAAACTCAAATACTTTGGCCACCTAATGAGAAGGAAGGACTCACTGGAGAAGGGCCTAATGCTGGGAAAGATTGAGGGCAATAGAAGAAGGGGACGACAGAGAATGAGATGGCTGGATGGAGTCACTGAAGCAGTAGGTGTGAACTTAAATGGACTCCAGAAGATGGTAGAGGACAGGAAGACCTGGAGGAACGTTGTCCATGGGGTCGCGATGGGTCGGACACGACTTCGCAATTAACAACAATAAGAAGTTACAAGGGCAGTCAAAAAAGTGATCTACAACCATTCTTTGCACTTACAACCTTCACGGTATCCCTATGATCATGTGATCAAAATTTTGGGCGCTTGGCAACCAGCATGTATTTACAATGATTGCTGCAGCCCAGAGTCACATGATCACCATTGGGATCTTCCCAGCTGGCTTCTGACAAGCAAAATTAATGGGGAAAGCCAGACTCCTTTAACAGCCACTTAACTGCCTTCACTTCACTTCACTTCACAATCATGGCAAAAAAGGTAAAATTGGGCGTGACACACTTAACAACCACCTTCCTTAGCAACCAAAATTCTGGTCTCAGTTGGGGTTTTAACTTGAGGACTAACTGTATTTAAATCTTAAAGTTATAAGGCAATCTGCATGAAATCCAGCATTTTCAAAAGGCCCTTTTCAAAAGCTGTCTGTATATAAATTACTTAACAGGGTACAGCAAGTGTATTAAATTTTGCATTTGATTGTTATACAATAGACCCATTTTAGGAAGAATATAATCCAGATGTGGGGAATCTGTAGTTTTCCAGATGTTGCTGAATGACAACTTTTAGCAGCAGCTCCAACAAAGGGCAAGGACAGAAGTGAGGAATGCCACAGACATACACCCAGAGGATCCTACGCATCCATCCCCTTCCTTACAACTTCTCACACCCAGATTTTTCCCCAGTAAAGTGGGTGTGGAATAAGGGCAGAACTGAAAGCCTTAAAAGTTTATTTTATGCCAAACTTTCTCGCACTCCAGTCTCCTGCTAATTCTCCAACATCCCCCTGCCTCCCAAGAATTAGCGTTTTGAAAATCTGTTAAGAATCACGATTGGCTAAAATTTGGGGATTCAGGAGATGGCCATTCCAGTTTCTCCCCTTCCCCCCCCCCAATAATTTTAAATGAAAAGTTGATGGAGAGATGGAAGCAAAAGGTATCTTGGGGCTCTTTTTTTTAAAGACTGCTGTTAACAGGCTAGCAAAAATATGGTGCCAAACAATTAAAAAAAAAAAACTTCAGCGAAGGCAACGACCCGTGCCCGGAAAGCAAGGCGCGAATGTTAACGAAGCTGGAGAAAGGAAGGGGGGGGGGATCTAGGAGGGTAGAATAGATGGCGGGGAGGGGAGCGAGTAAGTCGGCCGTCTAATAGGACGGCGCTGTTTCTCTCCTTTCTCCCGATCCTTTTCCAGAAAGTACAGCAATCGCCTGCTGTCCTTCGTTGCCTTCCCGTCTTTCACGAGACCCCTTTTGCCAAGTCTAAGCGGATGAGATCTCGCACCCCTCCCTCCTAAAGCCCCTTCGAAAGTGTGTACACACATACACATACCGATTCCACTTCGATCGGTCTCAGAACGACCCACTCGCAACTTTCCCCCCTTCCCGCCCACCCAGCCGGGCGGGTTTAGTTACCTGTTGGCAGCGCAGGGCTGGGCAGAAGTGCAGTCGATCTGTCTCCCTGGCGCTCAGGACTTCTTCCGACTGCCCCCGCTTGCTTTTTTTTTTCTTTTTAACACAAATTTAGTTCATCCTGCTCGTACCACGTTTTCCTCGCCCTGCCCTTGGCATCTGGCCAGCTGGGTGGGAACAGAGAGCGCGTGGCTGGCCTGACGCCTCTGAGAAGGGAAGTGGGGAAAGGGGGGGTCGCTTTGGTAGACGTCCGGAGGGCTGGGGCGCTCCCTTATGTCGATGCCTCCGGCTCATTTTTGCCAGTAGCTGCCAGGAGAGGCAGATATGGGAAGTCTTTGGCTTATGATCACAGTGGGGCCCAAAATTTCCATTGCTAAGCAAGACGTTGAGTGAGTTTTGACCCACTTTACGACCGCCTTTTGCCACAGTAGTTAAGTAATTGCCACAGTTGTTAAGTTAGTAACATGGCTGTTAAGTGAATCTGCTTCCCCATTGACTTAGCTTGTCAGAGGGTCACAAAAGGGGATCACGTGACCCTCTGGACGCTGCAACTGTCGTAAATATGAACCAGTTGCCGAGCATCCAAATTTTGATCATAGGGATGACCTTAAGTATGAAATACAGTAATGCTTTTTTCAGTGTCACTGTAACTTCAAATGGTCACTAAATAAATGGCTGTAAGTCAAGGACTACATGTAGTGCTTTTCCCTTCACTTCTGGCCATGAGGGAGGGAAAAAGAGTCGCCTGTTGGATTTCTGCCTGTATCTCACCCAAAAAGATGAATGGGGAGGAAGGGGCAGTCTTGGTGTTCTTACACTCTTGTGCTCATATATTTTGAGTGTACAGCTCAACATTCAGGCATAACATCTTATTAGAGGCTGTAGAACAGTGGTTCTCAACCTTTCTAATGCCGCGACCCCATAATAGTTCCCCATGTTGTGGTGACCCTCAACCACTTACAGTATACATCGCCGTTTCTTGAATAGAATCTATTCTATTGGCTTTCAGAAGCCCATAGAATAAGAGGGAGTAGCACAGCTAAGGAAAAGGGGAAAACAATGGCAGACTGCGTTGTTTGGTGACCCCCGTGAAATGGCCGTTCGACCCCAAATGGGGTCCCGACCCACAGATTGAGAACCACTGCCGTAGAAGCTACCATACATATAGTATTGTATATCAGGCACCCTGTTGGATTCAGACGGTTCCAATTGTTCACGACTTGATGGATTTCATTGTCCAAGAATGGGTATCAGGATCTGGTCCTTCTGAGTTCTTGTAAAGTCATGCTTGGGTCCAGAAATCCAGCCATCTTTTCTTCTCTGTACAGGTAATCCTTAACTTAAGACCATACTTGAGACGAGAATCTCTGTGGCTAAGCTAGGGGCTTGTTGAATGAGTCACAACTGATTTTGCAACCTTTTTTTCTATGTTAAGTGAATCACTGCAGCAGTTAAATGAATCTTGTGGTCATTAATTGAATGTGGTTTCTCGCATTAGGTTTGCTTGTCACACGCCAACTGAGGTCTTAAATGGCGATCACATGCCCTGGAACATTGCAACCATCGTAAATACATGCCTGTTGCCAAGCGCCTAAATTCTGATCATGTGACCCCGGGGATGCTGCAGGAGCCATAAGTGCAAGTCCTTTTTTTCAGGGCCATTGTAACTTCAAATGGTTGCCAAATGTAAGTGGAGGACTGCCCGTACATTTTTTTCAATTGCCTTCAATTTTCCAGGATTGGGGTCTTCCCCAATGATTTCTGTTTTTGCCTTTTGTGCCCAAACTGTTTAAACTTTAGCTTCTTTTTCAGTGTTTCTGATGAGCAATTTACTGTTGCTTCATCAAGGGCTAAATGATTTGTTCAGTCTAGGATATTCTCAGTAATATTCTCCAGTTGCCACTATTTGCTTCTCCTTCGTTCAACTTTTGACATGGCCCAGCTTTCACATCCCTATAACTGGAAAATCTATGGCCTTGACAGTATATACTTGGTTGTCAACAGGATGTTTCTGAACGTTAATGTTTTATTTGGGTTGCTTACTATGCGAGTTCAAAATGGGGTCACCCTCTTGCACAATTTTCTTTTTGATAAGTCTGGTTTTCAGAGCAGGACAGCCCAAAGCAAATTCCATCTAACAATGCTCCAGAGTTAGGCATCACTACAGGTTGTCCTCAACTTACAACAGTTTGTTTAGTGACCATTCAAAGTTACAACAGCACTAAGAAAAGTGATTTATGACCAGTTTTCACACTTATGACTGTTGTGGCATCCCCATGACCATGTGATTAAAATTCAGATGCTTGGCAATAGACTCATATTTATGACAGTTGCAGTGTCCCGGGGTCACCTGATCACCTTTTGTGACCTTCTGACAAGCAAAGTCAATGGGGAAGCCAGATTTACTTAACAATAATTTGACCAATTTAACAACTAGAGAATAAAAGAATAACAGAGTTGGAAAAGATCTTGGAGGTCATCGAGTCTAACCCCCTGCTCAGGGAGGAAACCCTATACCATTTCAGACAAATGGCTATCCAGTCTTTTCTTTAAAACTTCCAGTGTTGGAACATTCACTGCTTCTGGAGGCAGACTGTTCCACTGGTTAATTGTTCTAACTGTCAGGAAGTTTCTCCTTAGTTCTAGGTTGCTTCTCTCCTTGATTAGTTTCCATCTGTTGCTTCTTGTCCTGCCTTCAGGCGCTTTGGAAAATAGCTTGACTCCCTCTTCTCTGTGGCAGCCCCTGAGATATTGGAACACTGCTATCATGTCACCCCTCGTCCTTCTCTTCATTAAACTAGACATACCCAATTCCAGCAACTGTTCCTTTTAGTCTTCAGTCCCCTGATCATCTTTGTTACTCTTCTCTGTACTCTTTCTAGAGTCTCAACATCTTTTTTACATTGTGGTGACCAAAACTGGATGCAGTATTCCAAGTGTGGCCTTACCAAGGCATTGTAAAGTGGTATCAACACTTCACGTGATCTTGATTCTATCCTCTTAATGCAGCCTAGCGCTGTGTTGGCTTTTTTGACAGCTGCAGCACTCTGCTGGCTCATATTTAAGTGATTATCCACTAGGACTCCGAGATCCCTCTCACAGTTACTACTGTTGAGTGAGGCACCACCTATACACTATACCTGTGCATTTGGGTTTTTTTGCCTAAATGTAGAGCCTTACAGTGATTCACTTAACAACTTTGGCAAGAAAGGTTGTAAAATGGGGCAAACTTACTTAAATGTTTCACTTAGCAACAGAAATGTTGGGCTCAATTGTGGTCATAAGTTGAGGACTACATGTACTCTTTTATTTTTATAGCATTTTTTTCCACAGCTCTTTTTGATTCTCTAACAAATACACACACATAGACTTGGACCCCATAAAGGCAAGCTAATATTATTCTGCCATGTCCTTTCATGGACTGTAATTCTCCTCCTTAGATTCTTTTGGCATTATCCTCAGCTGGCAGTTATTTTTCCTGGCAGGAAAATATGTCTACTGCACTGGAGAAGAAGAACTGAAGGGGAAAGGTACAAAAAAAAAAAAAAAAGACACACAGAGAGAAATGTTGCTAGACTAATATCTAATTCAATTCTCTAATAGTGGCCAACCACTTATCCAGCTGGTGCTCAGTGGTATATTATCTCTGAATGTAGAGAATCCATTTAGTCATTAGTAGTAGTTTTATATATTTTGCAGTTATAGCTAAGCACAGTAAAGATACAGAATAAAACATGTTCTATAAAGAATTTATGCTATCACATTCTATTATAATTACATTATAATGTAAATTTAAGCCTTTAAACTAAAAGATCCTTGTCATATAATAATATCAAGTCACTATACATACATAATTTGAATGGGTGAATATATATTATTTTTAAAGCAATATCAGAAAGACCCATGGAAAAGAAGCATTTAAATGCTTTATTTCAAGTTTCTATCCACTTCAAGTGATCCAATTCCACAGGTAGTTTGGTGAGTGTCTTTTCAAAGAACCACATCTAAGTGAGAAAGATTCTTAATAAACAAGTCACTGTTATCATTATTTAAAAAGTCTAATTAAGAAATCAATCATGCTTTAAACAAATTGAGTACCTTCCAGCTGCACTGAGATTGCTATCCAAAAATTCCCAGTCAGCTAGATAATTCTAATCAAGAATTCTTGGTGTTGTGTTCCCGATATATTTGTGGCATAATAGTCTCCAAATAATGAATTTGTCCAGATCCCCATTAAATGGCTATTAATACATCATTTTATTGGGGCAAATAATAATTAATCAGACATTGTATAAAGAAATACTTTTAGAAATCTGAAAACCACAGATTTTCATTTGCATTTGTAAAACAACTCCAAAATATAAGATTTGGAATTTAAGGCCTATCACAGCCTGTTGCTGTACCTGGTTATAAAAGCGGAGATCTAACCCTTGAACTTATTTTCTTGAGCTGCAAAAATAGAGGATGACCATTAGATGGCAATGAGAGATTAATATTTTCTGCGTCTCTTTGCTATCAGCCAGGAGTTTTATGGATTTCTGCTACCTGGATCTGATGCTTATAGTAAATATATAGAGGTAGAGGTAGCCAGAAACAGAAACATAAATTTATTTTTTAAAAATGGTGAACCTTGAGGGAAAGAAAAAAATAGTGTACAAAGTGCCATTCAAACTAGTTGCCTATTATATTCAACCAAACCTTCCACTGTTGCATTTCTGGTTAACAACTTCACAAGACTGCATCACTTTCAGGGAAAATATCCATGTATACTGCTATGTGTAAAAAACAACAGTGTGCTTTGTAATACTAAGTCTGTAGTAGGTAGATAATTTGATTATTTTCATCCAATTATTTACTATCTTCTTGACAGCTCAGTGTAGTTAACAATGATGGACAGAGAGATGAATTGCAAACCTAATTCCATCCTCTAAAAAAAATGTATAATTGCCTATCCAACTGAGCAGCCAGAGCAATTCATATGCAAAATATATATCTGAATAGAACAAATTTTACTTCAAGAAAAGGTAAGTTAACTCCACCTACTTTCAAAGTTCCATAGCCCTTAAAAATAATTTTGCAGCCTTAAAATACTATCCCATTCAAACTCTATATTAAACCATAATGTGTCTTGGGCTTAGTTGTTCTTTGACCCTAATTTTGTACTTTGAGAGCCAGTTTGGTGTAGTGATAAAGGCACCAGACTAGAAACTGGGAGAC